GATGAGAAAGATCGTGACTCAATCTTTACGACCGTTTGAAGAAATGAATCTACGCCAGGTGGCCGCTTAGTAGATGCATATCTTTCACGGTTTCACTTTTCGGAAAGCAAGAAAAGGAAAGAGGAAGGAACAAAATGAAGAAGAAGAACGGAAGAAAGGGAAGAAGAAGAAGAAGAAGAAATGGGAGCAATACAAGAAGAGCAGGATATGAGAAGAAAGAAATTTAACAGACAAAAGCAAAAATGTATGGACGAATAAAGAAAGGAAATAAGTTCTCAAAGACATATCAGTGGCTGAGAGTGGCGGGCATGGGAATGAGGGTCCCCTTACTCTCGCTCGCGTTTGACGCCGTTTGAACGCCAACTCCCATTGTCTGTCATGCACTCTTATGCATTCTCATCAATTTTGAGCTTTTTGTTCAAATTTTGATGAGAGTTGATGAGAGTTTTCAGTACAAAACTCTCATGCAAACTCTCTCTTCTCAACTCTCATCAACTCTCATGCAACTCTTGTTCTCGTTTGACTGGGGCATGAGAACTGAGAAAACTCTCATGCAAAGTTGAAAACTCTCGCTTGCCCACTCTCATCTATCTTTTGACCAGGGCTTATAAATCAGTCAAAAAATATAAGTGAAGACGCCAAGGTAAAGAACAGATTAAGTGGAAGGAAAGAGGTAGATGTCCTTCAAATCAAATGGAATTTATTATTTAGCGTACATTTCCATTTCTGTGTACTTTGTACTGTATTAGACAGCGGGAAATGACACATGCATACTGAAATAAAATACTAACGGAGTACCACGAAATACCGTAATTTGCAATCTCTAAAAGGGCTAATCTAAGTGCGCATTTAAACAGCATTACGCAGTTAATCAACCAGCCTCGCTTATTTACACAGGAATATTTGATGTATTTAACTGATAGCTCGGGGCTAAAATCTTGTGTGTACATTTGTAACCTGGTTCATATATGGCTACCTAATGTCTACAGCAAGTCATGACGCTGTCACCGAACGATAATCCGATTACCCGCTCTGACACTTGCGAGACAAAAGCTTTGACTTTTCTTTGCCATCAACGAATTAACCGGACAGGAAATTGTCCAGCATTTTTCATTATGATCAAAGACGCATGAGTTGTGTATACTTGGTTATTTACCGTGACGCTGAAACGATCTTGTTAATCACAGTGCATTTTGTAACCCTTGCGACTTGGCCAATTCACAGTATTGTTGTGCCGAATTAGTTTATTTCAAGAAACATATCGCTATATTTAGTCGAAACATCGAGTTGGTATGATATAAACTTTATATCTCTCGCAGTTATTGATCTCTAGACGTCGCTATTGCGTTGCCTTTTGGATTCCGACTTAAAGTTACTTTTATTATTGTGATACACCGTTTACAAAAGGGATTAATGTCCGTCCTACTGTGGCAATAGACGAGTCTTTGTTATCGCGAATCGATCTTGTGCGAGGTTCTTCTATATATTCAGGGGGAATCGCTATAATAAACACTTTGCATTCCAAGCTCGAGTGCATTCAAGTGCGTTTTACTCCCGGCCGCAATTTAATAATAAAACAACATTGTTACTAAAGTGCTGCTATTTGGTACTTCAACCTCGGAAGCTCTCGTGCCAATCGGTGTGGAGTAGTATTAAACAGATCTACAAGCAAATCACCAGCAGAATTTTGGTAAGTTTTAGCACAGCTTTATATTACAGACTTTATATTCTGTGTGTTTCCAAAATGACATGATCGCCGTCGTGGCTAATAAGGCATGATGAAAGACGTAACCTCTTAATAAGGCTATTTTCAATGAATCAATGTCTTCGCAGCGCTTTTGTGAGGTCAAAATGGGCTCAGAATGGTTGTTTTAACAATTAGCTACCAGCTGTGTTTGTGTTTTAGACCACTTTGTACTAAAAAGGCCAATGGTTCCGCGTTGGTTTGTTCGTATCTAATACTTAATAAGAAGCAAATCGATTTTTGAAACACTAACTTATTGCGCTATGTCTATGACATGCAGTACTGTTCATGTGTTTTAACATTGCCGATTTGTCTGAAATTCCAAGTGCTTTAATTTCGTGTTAAATTTCTAAGCAGGAGAGCTATTTAACAATCCATGGGGCCTGTTTAATGTTGAAATATATACTTCTGAAACCGATGCCTTTAAGGTCCGTTAGTACAAAGAGGCGAAATATTTTAAGCCTCGAAAGATAAATGCCCTCTAATTCGGGGCAAATTATCGCCTAGACAGCCTGACGGACGAAAGACGGATTATAACAAGTCGAAGCCCAAATGACGGCGTTTAAAGTCTTTCAGAATACCGGCTTCGTTTATGAACTATACTTGTCAAATATTTTACAGAAATTGTCAGGATGTTTTTAAGCATTCCAGCGATAACCTTATTGTTTACAAATCAGGCAAATCTGTTTTAATTGTATGTTTTTGTACATTTGGACAAGTAGCTACCCCATAAAGGATCTTTGGTATTAGACGTTAATAACCAATAATAGCGATAATGCGGGAGAATTACGGGGAATACTTACGAAATCAAATGCGTGTTTGCTCTTATTGAAATTCAAAGTCTCAATTGGCTATAAAATCGCAGGTATAAATTGCGTCAAATTGTTACATTATATTTTTAAAATGTTGCTGCATTCTGGACTGTTGCGAACTATAGCAGACACAGAGTATATATTTTTTGTGATATTTTTTGTGATAATCTATGGGCTAAAATCGTATCCTGTGGTGAATGCCAGATTGGCAAATATTTTATCTCTATGGCGCGTTGCTTGAACGCACAGCTACAAAAGTGTCAACTAATTGTGCAAATAAAAGTGTATCAAAATAACGCCAACGCGAGAGAACGAAATGTCGAAATTGTGCGCGATGTTGTGGGGGGATTTAAAACTACCGCGATTGTACGAAGAAAAGTATAGTGTTTTTCAACTGGATAGCTCTATCAGAGTTCTAAACAGTTCTCTCTCTGAGATACAGACGTAGGTCTACAGTTAATTATTGGTTGAGTGTTGTTACTACAGGGAGAAACTTGAGTCCCCAGAGAAAAACAGCGGTGTACTGTTTGTTAGAGCCAAACTCAGGAAGGACGTTTCTCACAAGAAACTGAGGCTAAATTTAATATAATCGTACAACTACATAATCTCGTACCTAGACTAGAGTATGCCAAAACTCCTTGCAGAGTATATTATTTGTGTAAACAATGACTCAAAATTTTGAGCAAACTCAACTGCGGAATGAAGTTTCAAATTTACTTAATGTTTTGACTCGGTAAAGATTTACGATTTTACTGTAATCAAAAAATAAGTAAAGTTACTGTGGCTGCATTATTTTATACTGGAGTTTTGAGTCAGTATTTGAAGCATTAGCGAGCTTAGCCAAGCGACGTTTTTGTCAATACGGACATCACCAGAAAATTGGAAAATCTAATTCTGCCGCCATTTTGCATCACATGCACTGGCGCTCGTATAAAGCCTGCAGCACACGAGAGCTATCTGCTGAGCAAAAAGTTACTCGTGCCTGTTAGCTCAGCCGATAACTCACCGTGTGTGCGCGTACATTTTACTGAGTTTTTTGCCTCATGCAACCTTTTCTCACGTATCAAACATGTTTGATCGGTGAGCTATCTGCTGAGCTAACAGGCACGAGTAACTTTTGGCTCAGCAGATAGCTCTCGTGTGCTGCAGGCTTAAAGGAAGCGAAAAAATTTTAAAATCTTGTGTTTTGTCATATATGTTGAAGATTATCACAAACTGACACAAACACAGTTTTTAACAGAGAGCCTCGCGTTGGGCAGTGAAGCCCCGTTTACACTACGCTCAATTTTTGGTGCGGCACGGATAAAATTGGTACCCGTACCACTTTTTTGGTTCTTGGACTACCTATTTAGCTAAGCCCCGTTGACACTACGCTCAATTTTTGGTACCGTACCACTTGGACTACCTATTTAGGTAGTTAGGTAGTCCAAGAACCAAAACAGTGGTACGGGTACCAATTTTATCCGTGCCGTACCAAAAATTGAGCGTAGTGTAAACGAGGCTTTAGCCTCCTCCGCAGGGCCTGTCATAAATTTCTCTATAAGTTTCGTGTAACTACTGCCGCCTTTGACTTTGTCCACGCAATTGCCTGCGGATGAAGCATTTGAGATACTTGAACGCAAAAAACATGAAGAATGAAAAATATTCCGTTATTTTAAGTGTGAATTGAATGAAGAAGTGTTCAAAAAATGAAAAACGTGCCGTACTTATAGTTATTTCACAATTTCCGCATGTTTTGCGTTCAAAACCCTCGAAAACAATCTTTAAGAAGTCCACAATTGTGCTAACTCGCCCAAAAACCACAAAAGGCTATCTTTATATCTCGGGGTGTGTTTCGCTTAATATAAATCCCAAATCGCTATTTATTTGCTCGCCATTCTTTCATCTAAGACAAATTGTCGCATAATTTCCGGTGTTGTATTAAAACGCGGTGGACGGCGCCAAAATAATGTATATTGTTTGCTTACCAAGTTAATTCCCATGTATCTCTTTGTTAAACATACATACAAGTTGTCTGCTCAAGAGAAAATCGTTTTCACACCTATGAATGATTAGAAAACTGTTTAGAATTTGTTTGAAGTTACGTAAGTACGGTGTACCGACATTTTAATTGAGGGATATAACGGTTGTTGTCGGTTCGTTTTAGCCCAGTACAAGGGTGCATACCCCTAGGTTATCCCCACCTCTTCTTTGCCCCAGGTAATCCTGAATAGCATATATGTGACCAGCAGTATTTCACCCCTGACCGAGAGAGTGCTTTCAGTTCGATTCGACCAAAGTCTGGTAGGGATGCCTGATCTCTAGGGAGAACAGTTTGGAAATGATAGAGCTATAATCCAGTATAAATAAATCCGGTTTAGGTTTCCTCCTGTAGTAACACTGGGTCAATAAGAGATGACTCTTACTGGACCTCTATGGAGAACAGTTTAGAACTGGTAGAGCTATCCACTAGTAGAATTATTTTATCTGGCAAACTACATGAAGCTTCAATAAGGAATTGAATTTTTGCCCCCCTCCTATGAAAAGAGGGCGTCTTTGCTCTGCAGCGTTATCGAGTTTAAATAAAGTTTTAAATATTAAGTAAAAAACTGAATTAACTAACGTTATTTATACTGGATATGCTGGATAGCTCTATATCAGTTCTTAACTGTTCTCTCTAGAGTGGAGGTCCAGTAATCCGTGGAGGTCCATCTCTTATTGATTCAGTGTTACTACAAGAGGAAATGAAAACACTCATCTCATATTAGGCATATTAGTGCAGCCAAGAGCACACCATCAATCAAACGCAAAACTTGGCAAGAGTCTGAAGAGGCACTGAACGCGACTTTTCAAGCAAAAAGCACATCAAGCGCTGTCATGATTCAAATGTCCCTATAAAGTCAATCGGGGTTGCCAAACAAATGAACGCGCTTCGCCCCCCTAGCGCGCACATTGTCTTGTCCCCTTGTCTTTAAGATCCCCTGACAATTTATCCAATTATCTTGTGTTTGCTTTGCGGTCCGCACTTCGCCAGTAAAATAGCTTAGATCATTTATACCCACAAATAGACTGACAAACAAGGAGACACGCTGTGCCAATGGCGAGCTTAACAAAGTTTTATAACATGTTATTGTGTGTATACCTTTTTTGGGTAATATTAGGACGTGCTGTTTTATATATAGAACAAGATAAGCGAGGGAATAGGGTTAAAAGATAACAGCGTTTGTCGTGGGAAGGTCTCTAGGAATATTATTGGTGTATATATATTTATCCAGAGCGTGGGTTGATAGTGTTATACAGTTGGTTGAAATTTTTGAAACATTTATAGTCTTGAGTGGTTAGTTTTGTAAGTACTGCTAGCCTCTTTACTTTTTGAAACTTTGTTCTAATCAAACTTAGTAAGTTTATTTATACTGGAAATCTAGCTGGATAACTCTAACAGTTCAAAATTGTTCTCTCTATAGAGGTATATACTGCTAAAACTTGATTACCTGGAGAAAACTTTGGTATAGAGTCGAACTGAAGCGCTCTTCTGACTATGCGACTGAAGAGTGAAGTGAAATTAACATCACGCCGGCGACTGCATATTCAGCATGATTGAAGAGGTTAAAGGCACATGTATTGAACTTGGAAATGTTTTAGAAAATATGTCTTATTCGGTGTTTGACATGCGAGTTTGATCTATAACCGTGATTTGATCATTCACATACAACAAAAATCATACGGATATCAAATATTCTCCCATGACCATGTTCATAAGTATACCATTTTTTGGTATATATGTAACCACGCAGCATGCACTGAATCTGTAGTGTAAATATCTGATAGATATGTAAATATCTGGTCACTGCAAATTGAACTTTGACTGATGATATTAGTTCTTTTTCAGCGGACAATCAAGGATGGGTTGACTACAATTTTTTTGTAGTTCGCTATAACTACACTGCTACTTCAAAAATATGTAGTCAGCTACAACTACTGCTACTTTTAAAGAAAGGTAGTTCGCTACTGACTACAGCTACTGCTTAAAAAATGTAGCGAACTATTTCGCTATTTCGCTACTCTATATTTTTGGTTTTACTGTATTTGGAGCATCTATTAACTCAGGCTGGAATGTAACCTATAACAAATCGATTTACGAGTAACAACAGTAAACACAAAGCAACATTTTTGAAAGCACTACAGTGTTCAGGCGTGCAAATTGACTACAGAGTATTGATTTTAAGCAGACCGTGTCTCAGTATCATGCTATTCTATGATCAAGTAATTACTAACAATTTTAAAAAGTAGCGAATAGCGATTCGCTGTTTGAAAAGTAGCCAACTTCTTGGCTACTTTTAGGCAAAATGTAGTTCGCTATAAGTACAGCTACTGTTTTAAAAAAGTAGTCAAAAACTACTGGCTACTTGAAAATTGTAGTTCGCTACAGTAGCGAACTACAACTACTTCGCTACTACCCACCCTTGCGGACAATATCGCGAATGAAACACCCTGTCAAATTAAGTCACTGGCAGTATGAAAGTGACAATGACTTTGGAATAAAGTCGAAATATTATCTTGAATTAACTTTGCATCTTATATGATAGTTAATCATTTCTTTATTTAGATATCATAATATCCTGGTTTTATTTCAACGTAAAAACAAAAGAACCAACGAACAATATGCATACAGGCATCAGTTTAACAGCTTTCCTCTCGGTTTTATTTCTGTTACACGAAGTGTCCTCAAAAACAGTCACAATGTTCTACGACCAGGAAATAACGTCGGACACATGTTACAATCGTTACGGTCGACCACATCGGTGCCTGCCCGAATTCAAAAACATCGCCTACCAACAAAGAATCAAGGTGACCCACACATGTGGGCAAAACGGACCGACAAAATTCTGCAAGGCCAGTTACGAGGGGTGTGGTATTTGCGATGCTAAGGACCCTACCCTAGCCCACCCGCCTAGCCATCTGACCGATCTAAATAACCCTTCCGACCTAACGTGCTGGCAAACCGACCCATTGGACAGTTCTAACCAAAATGTTACCCTGACCCTAAGTCTGGAAAAGCAGTTCGATATTACGTATATAAACCTGGAATTCTGTTCGTATCGCCCGGACGCAATGGCTATTTATAAATCGAACGATTTCGGTCGCACGTGGACTCCTTACCAGTACTACGCGGACCATTGTATGCACATGTTTCACAAAAGTACGCGCGGAATTGTTAGTCATGGGAACGAGGTACTATTTGTTTAATTTCATGCGGTTATCACTCTGAGGTGGACGGAATGCCTTGACAGGTTTTACGACCCAATTGACAAAGACCTCCGAGGATTATTTTAAATTTTAATGCCTAAGGGTTAATTTTTAACATATACCCGGAGAAAACCCTCGAAGAACAAAACTCGACTTACAAAAGACAGCGAAGTTACCCAACCTAAATAAATCCCTGCCCTCAACCTACAGTAGCAGGCTTAACTCTGCAGTAAGGGGGCAGCATGTTGACCATTTCACTTGTAAAAATTGTCCAAATTAAATTTGATATATATTTTAAGGTGGAAGCACTCTGTACTGATGCGCATTTGTTACGGCCTCTCCGTGGAGGTAGGATTGCCTTTAGCACCTTGGAGGGCCGACCCTCTGCTCCGAATATCGATGCCAACGAGTTACTGCAAGACTGGGTCACCGCTACAGATATCAAGGTACTGTTACTGACATGCTTTATAAATATCAAGATTTTGTTGGCATTTCATTGATTATTAGTTGAAGGGCATTGTAGACGGAAATTATGGAGCGGACATTTATTTACATTTGTTAGACCTAACCAGGAATTAACAGAAGCGAAAAATGCAACTTTAGGTCCCTGACAGGAATCGAATCTGTGGCTCTGCGATTCCGGTGCAGCGCTCTAACCAACTGAGCTACAGAGGCCAGCTGTCGAGCTCTAACCACAAGTTCATGTACACCTGTATTGAAAACCTTAAGGTGGCTTCCCGTCAAAACAGAACTATACCTGAGGGATGCAATTTATGCATTCAAATGTATGACTGACCGAGCACCTGGCTACTTGACAACGCAGTTAACTACCAGACAAGAAATCTCTGGCCGTGTGACCCGCAACTCCCAGCAATTAAATATTCCTCGTTTTAGAACTGCGACTGGACAGAAATCTTTTTCATACAGAATAATTTCCATATGGAATTCACTAGATAGTAATCTTAAATTATGTAATGACATTCCAGCTTTTAAAAAAGATCTTAAGAAGAAACTTTTAGGACAATTTCTAGAATCATGATATTTTGGATACGCATAGCATACGTAGGATATTCTTTTATAGCTTATATAGTAGTTCATAAATTAGTTCTTTGTACATATATTTAGATATATTTTATGTATGATCACTGAAAAGCCCCTGATTGGGGAGCGGGGTTCATTAAATTTCAAATTCAAATTCAAATTCAAATTCATGTATATATACTAGCCTATAAGGGTACTGCCATGTGTATAGGTGTGTAAATATCAAGATTTTGTCGGCATTTCTTTCGACTGATTGATACACCATTTCGATAATGTACCCAGTTCGTAAGTTTGCACTGTGCGTTTCTATGCCTTATTGCATTTAAAATCATCGTGGTTCTAACTTCATCAGCCTTACTGAACTCGCGTAATTTAATTTCGACATTTTCACAAAGTAACGGGCCGTTTATACATTTGCCATTTTTGCTGCGATTTTCTTCTGCATGTGAACGAGTAGATGAGCTGAATGAATGTTCTGAGTATATGCGGTACCCTCATCTGAACATTCATAAAGGTTGGTTTACACTATCAAAGGTTTTGTGATCACAGTAGGAATTTTGCATTGGAAATTCTAAGTTTTGAAGGATTTGTAAGAAATGTTTGTAACTTTGTGGGAACTGACTCAAACAGTAAAATAAAATTTATTTAGCCACGGTAAAACCTTCAGTATACGCTATTTTGCAACTGAAGAGAAAAACATTAAGAGGAGATTTTTTTTGTATGTTATACACGCGCTCAAAACTAAGTAAGAGTTATAAACCGAGTAGGAGGTTTATAACTGATATATTGACCCGAGGACGCGTAGCGTCCGAGGGGCAATATATCAGTTATAAACCGACTTACTCGGTTTATAACTCTTACTTAGTTTTGAGCGCGTGTATAACATACAACATATTTTGTCATTTTGTCATTCATACATACAGCATTTCCAACATATTTTGTCATTTTCAAAAATTTTTAATGAAAAATTCTCGCGTTTTGTCTACAAATTTAATCTAATCATTTATTCAAGGTCTATAAGCTAGTTATAAACCTCGGACGAACAAAGAAAACCGACGCAAGTGTGATATAATGCGTATAATATACCACTTGAGGTTATGACTAAATTCAAAATTTTTATTTTTCGATATGTTTCTCAATCGGCAAACAAACTTAAAAAGTATGTTTAGTGCTTTATCTGTAAAATAATGCTAAAATAAAGAGATTTTAGATGATACGCCAAAGAGAAAATTATGTCTGAATTTCAGTAAGTTTTGCTTATATGGCTGTAAATATGGCGTCAATTTTAAAGCATCATTTATAATTGTATTTTAATTGACAATTTTTAACTATTATTTTATGTTTCTCGACCGACAGATGCATTTAAAAAGGTAGCTAACTGTATAAACTAGAGAATAAAGCAAAAACAAAGTGATTCTGAGAGGAACGCCAAAAATATTTTAGGTTTTGAGCACTTTTCATTGTAAATACGCGACATTGAAAAAAATTGCCTCTTAACTGGTTTACAAGATTGCCGTGTGGGAGTCTGCGTTACCATAGATATCGCTAAAATTATTATAATAGTCATTTGTAACCTTCTTAAATTGGGAAAGTAGTGAACATTCATAACTCATCTACTCGTTCACACATTGTTAATTATTATTAATTATTATCAAGGTGGTATTCATGAAGATCAGTGGTAATCGTAGACATTTGGGGACAAACAAGGACATGCTTTACTATGGTGTGTCCGATTTCTCGGTCGGAGGACGGTGTAAGTGTAACGGGCATGCGTCAAGGTGTGTTAAAAACCACCATGGGAAGTTGGTCTGTGATTGTATGCATCACACAAGCGGCGTGAATTGTGACAAGTGCTCAGCGTTCTATCGAGACAGACCTTGGATGAGAGCAACTGCTGAGGTGACTAATGAATGCATTGGTAGGTAGAAACCATAGCAGAAACTAACTTATAATCACTTTCAGAAGTTGTAGGGACACATGTAGTTTTAGCTTGTAAGTGGATCATTACAGTTTTTACACACAATACCGCTCCCCTTCCCCTCCCCCTCCCCCACCCCAATCAATGTTGTTTAACTAAAACAAATTAAACCCGACGAGAAATGGGACACAACATTGAACAGGGGGAGGGGGGATTGTCGTTTGTTGAAATTCAAAGGTTTTGCGGCATCTGTCCCAAGACTTTTGAAACTGATTGTAGGTCCTGTTGAAAGTGCGAGCTTTGGTCTGGTCTGGTCTGGTCTAGTCTGAGCAAAGGCCTGGCCATAGATTAAGTATCTGGCCCAGCAAGGGGGGGGGGGGGTTTAAGCCTGGCGCACACGAGATAAACTTGCTGAGCTAACCGCCTCGCGTGGCGGCTAGCTCAGCTATGCATTTTCACGCTAAACATACTGAATTCAACATACCTGTTTTGACAGCTTGCAACTGCAGTAACCACGCGAAACATTGCCGTTTTAACCCAGAACTGTACAGACTCGAAGGTCATGGTGGTGAATGCATCCGCTGTCGACACAATACGGCTGGAAGGTTTTGCCATTACTGTAAACAAGGTTACTACAGAGATAAAGGGAAAGACATCACTCATAGGAGGGCTTGTATAAGTAAGTTTATGTTTTGGTGTATTACTTTTTGAATACTGTAAACCATAGTCATGGAACGTCTGTCCATGGTCAATCAATAGTGCCATCCAGTGATCGGACGGAATGTTCCATTGTCTTGAAAATACCATTGTTCTCCATACCATTCAGTCAAGCATTTATGCGCGGAAATGAGCCTTAATTGTGTTTAGCAAAATAGCTATACAGTATATTCTGAATAGTCCTGCGGCGTCAAAACAATGAGGGACTGGATGGCATGGTGAACAGTGAGATTTTCTGTACCAGTGATCAGAATGTTCCATTGTCTTTTCATTGTTTTGAAAATCCCACTGTTCTCCATGTCATCCAGTCATGACCCAGTGATCAGAATGTTCCATTGTCTTTTCATTGTTTTGAAAACTCAACTGTTCTCCATGTCATCCAGTCATGATCCAGAGATGAGAATGTTCCATTGTCTTTTCATTGTTTTGAAAATCTCACTGTTCTCCATGTCATCCAGTCATGATCCAGTGATCAGAATGTTCCATTGTCTTTCCATTGTTTTGAAAATCTCACTGTTCTCCATGTCATCCAGTGATCAGAATGTTCCATTGTCTTTTCATTGTTTTGAAAATCTCACTGTTCTCCATGTCATCCAGTCATGACAAGATGACATAAGAACAGTGGGTTTTTTTTCCAAACAATGAAAAGACAATAGAACATCTGATCACTGGATCATGACTGGATGGCATGGAGAACAGTGGGATTTTCGAAACAATGAAAAGACAATGGAACATTCTGATCACCTGATTGTAATATGATTCACTATTGGTATGCTCAGTGTTGCAAACGACCATTCCCCCCAAAGCGTAAAACCAAAAAGTTAGATCTGCGCATGTGTGTGTCAAAATTAGATCTGCGCATGTGTGTGTCAAAGTCTCCCACAAGCGTTGCAATGGTTTTCTCAGTATAAGTACCGCCAGTGAAGCGTGGTTCGATAAAAGGGCTTTTACCGTCAATGGTACGTCGGTCTGGAGACGGATCGGCGCGGAATCGCCATCAAGAGATTTCGGAAGCGTAATGTTTGGAAACTTGTGGCAGTTGGTCGCCAATGCGCCGACGCCCACTTACAACCGAAATATAAAAATAGGTACAACATTGCGTACGCTAGGAATGTTGGAATCTCAGAGGTTGCTTGGAACTTATTTTTCATCCATACCTATCATTTAGTCTGAAGTAGGTTGTGCACTCCGGTGTAATTTTTAAGACCAGTGACTGGCAATGTCTATAATCTAATATTTCTTTCAGAATGTAACTGCCATCCAGTGGGGTCGCGAGGGAAGATCTGTGACCAAGCTACAGGAGAGTGTCCTTGTAAGGAAGGTGTGACTGGCAGAACTTGTAATGACTGCAAGCCTGGCTATAGAAGTACCAAGACCAAAGCTGCACCTTGCCTTGGTATGTCGTACATTGTGTCTTTCACCTTGATGACTGGAGTTTCATTCCGGCAAAATATAGTTGTCTGTTTATAATTTCAGCTCAGTGGCAAGTGAGAAGAGTGTTTGCCTCTGTAAAACAATGCAGGTTTCCTTTGGGGAACCACGGTTTTATCCTGTAGTAATAACACAGGACCGCTTTTAAAATCTTAGGGGGGGGGGGGAATAGTTTATGTAACTCATAGAGTTATTGTAGTCTGTCAAGATACGATTTTCTGGAAGCCCGGAAACATGAAAGCCACAAAATAGAAGACGTTTGTTTGATGTTGAACTGTACCTCACCATGCACAAATCCTTCGTCTCAACTTCATTAAAAATTATGATCGTCCTCGGCTATCCCTATTGGACGATTACAATGAGTTCAAACATCATTAATAATTCATAAGCGTTTTGGCAAATCATGTCAACCATAATATGTCACGTGCAGTGGCTTTAAACCTGATAAAACACTCCTAATTAGTATTCTTTATATAAAGAATACTAATAAGGTAGTATCTATTGTAGTCGTGTCCTCATTAGTATTCTTTATATAAAGAATGCTAATAAGGCAGTATATCTATTGAATTTGTAGTCGTGTTTGAAGCCGTTTAATAAACTCGCAGGTCGTGTTTTCATTAGGCTTTAAACCTAATAAAACAATCCTGCTCGTTTATTAAACAGTAGTTCAATCACGGTGACTCAGAAAAACATAACACAATGACTCAAAACACTAAAAGTGTTGAGCAAAGCTTTTATAAAAATAATTTTAAACGAATCTTTTTCAGATGTAAAACGTAACGATGAGCCTCGCAAAGACGCTAGAAACACGGGTAAGCATTTGAAACGAATTTTGGGATTCAATTTATCAATTTAATCGATGATTAATCAATAGACAAGTTGCATGTTAGACTAATTTTTTATCTAGGTAAAAAAAGTAAATTCCCGAAAATTACTTATTGAAATTAGTAAAAATTAGCAAAATTTGGTTGCGAAGTTTATATATGTTTGTATTACGTGCGTAAATTAGCCATTCCGAAGTTGATGAGAGGACTGGAGACGAGTGTTAAAAAGTGTCCAAATTAAGAAATGGACCAAATCACTAAAAAGACCACCTCAAAATTAGTAAGTATACAACGTTTGAAGTTTACATGAATATCCTTCGAGTAATAAGCTTTCGAAATCGCGATATTTACTATGAAATGTATTGTAATTTTCGTTTTGGGGACGCGCGTCCCAAAAACAATCTTTTAATCAGTAATTTCACAATTTTCGAAAGCTTATTATTCCAAGGGTATTCATGTAGACGTCTTCAAACTTTGTATACTTACTAATTTTGAGATGGTCTTTTTTAGTTATTTGGTTCATTTCTTAATTTGGGCACTTTTTAACACTCGTCCTCAGTCCTCTCATCAATTTCGGAATATCTAATTGTTAATAACAAACATATACAAAATTTGCAAACTTTGCAAGGCTATATTTTCCAAGATTTACAACATTTAGCAACTAAAAACTAATTTCATTATGTTCTTTTTAGCTGTAGTGTTTGTTCCCTTCTCTTTACTTAAATTAAATTTTAGTCTAACATGCAAATTCGCCAAATTGCCCATTAATGAACCGATTAATGAATCGAATAAAATATTATTAAACTAACTTATTCAACTATTTTTTTCTTCAAGATTGCAAACATTGTCGCCCAATGCAGCTGTCGGTGACGAAATACTGCAAACGAGATTTCGGTAAGAAAATATTTCAGTAAAATGGAGCCGGTCAGGTCAATGTTTATATCTGCCGAAGCGAATTATTATACATTTTGGAAAAGATAAAAAACATACTATTTAAGAGAAAATTCTAATAAATACCTGTGGAAGATAGCTTTGTATTATTTCGTGTACTTTTTGGTGTTGTCACCGTCTTTTTCTGACGATAATTTAAACAGTTCCCCTTGTTTAAAGAAGCGAATCTATTTTATATACAAAGCAACTGTACGCCATTTTTTCTCGGCTTTTAAAATTTCGCGGGCTTTTAAAGAGGACCACGCTGGGGCCTGGGCTCTACATCAATGCCCGTTCGCAGGTTAAGGGTATAACGAGATTGGCTTTTCCTCCAATCAACAAAGAGAATAAAGTTCATATGGCTAATAAAATATATTCAAAAAATTTTTTCGTAGGTATCCGAGTAAAAATCCTCACCAGGACCCATGTCAGAGGCTGGATGAAATTCACAGTTGAGATAGAACAAGTCTTCAAGTGGACTGGGGAGACTCGATTGCGCGAGGGCAAGAAAGCGGTCTGGGTACGAACACGTGACGTCAAATGCAGCTGCCCTAAATTCAGGCTGAGCAGGCGCTACCTGATTGTCGGGTTTAACGATATCCACGAAATCCAAAAGGGAATCGTTGTTAGTCAGCGGACTGTTGTGACACAATGGTCGGAAAATATTGCAAGGAGAGTGGCGAAATTTCAAAGACGACAGAAAAAGGGGACATGCCTTAGTACAAACGTCGAGGAGAACGCCTAGAGATACTTGAGTTTGGTTGAAGAAACAGGTCATAGCGTTTGGTGTCAGTTGAAGCGTAGAAGAAGGCGTTCTGTCAGTGAGTTTTAGACATTAGCAAGCTCAAGGGAGCGGTCATTATTTATGGGGGGGGGGGCGAAGAGAAAAGGGTTGGGTAAACAAAATTTTGAGTGAGTAAAAGGTTGGGTAAATGAAAAACAAAACAACTCAAGGGTTTGATAATAAAAAATTATTGTCATTTCCAAAGCATGACTAAAAAGCAATGTCAACAATCATATGGTAATACAATATGTAAATCAATCAGAGTCACTATCTTGATCATTTTCCGATTTGTCAGGAGGCAAATTTTGTCTCCAAAAAAAGTACATGTGCAGACAACACGAAACTTTACACTGCAGAAAATTACACAAACAGTTATCAAACTCGTGTCACAGGAGTGGTAAAGGACATTTGTGACAACTGAATGGTATCCTTTTGTAACGTTTTTGGCCAGGGGTGGTTATTTGTTTTTTAATTGATATTTGAGGTTGGGTAAAAATTTCCCCCCACTTTTCTATGGTTGGATCCGCAAAATTTGACCAAGAAAAAAATTCTCTTCGATGCCACCCCCCATCATAAATAATGACCGCTCCCTAAACAAGCGACGTTTCTGTCAGCTGAAGCTTTTGTGCGCAAATATTACGCGCAAAAGTACACAAAATCTGTTTGGCACTCAAACGGTCTATGACAACACTACGCCACAAATGTAAAAAGCAACCACGTTGTTATTTAAAGAGATATTTATAACGTATAATATTTGAAGTAGAAATAGTTTAGATTTTTTCCTAAACTAGAGTGAGGTCCGCTTCAGACGGCGAACTTTTCACGTGACCGAATGCATTAAGAGGCAATTTTTTTCAATGTCACGTGTTTGCAATGAAAAGTGTTCAAAACCTAAAATATTTTTGGCGTTCCTCTCAAAATTATTTTGTTTTAGCTTTGTTCTCTAGTTTATAGAGTTAGCTACCTTTATAAATGCATCTGCCGGTTGAGAAACATAAAATAATAGTCAAAAATTGTCAATTAAAATACAATTATCAATGATGCTTTAAAATTGACGCCATATTTACAGCCTGCATATATGCAAAACTTAGTGAACTTCAGACATCATTTTCTCTTTGGCGTATCATCTAAAATCTCTTCATTTTAGCATTATTTTACAGATAAAGCACTAAACATACTTTTTAAGTTTGTTTGCCGATTGTGAAACGTATTGAAAAATTTAGTCATAACCTCAAGTGGTATATTATACGCATTAGCAATTTGAGCGCGTGTTACGTAACATACAAAAAAATCTCCTTTTAAAAACAATAGATAATCATCTGAACTACCTTGAGCATTATCTATTGTCTTTAATGCATTCGGCACACGAAAAGTTCGACGTCTGAAACGGGCCTGAGACAGACCAGTAATGTGAATATAATATATAGTAGGTCTGTTGGTGAGTAACAGTTTATACAGTACATTTTGTATACCTGGCATTCTCTGGTACAAACCGGACCATAATTGAGCATGGCTATTTTTTGTATCAAAAATGTTGAATTCATTATATTGAATATTTGTATTTATTGTGTTGTTTTATCATAATTACAATTGAATTGCAGTAGTGAACTCCATATAATTATATATCTGGAGCAAGAACTTGAGCCAAGATGGCGGTCATTGACGTCCAATAGCTCTGAAGGTCGTCCAACAGCTTTTATACCATTTCCCTCCAGCTAATTCCAGTGTTTTCTAACGGACCGTATCGCTAACCAAGTTATCAGTTCATAAAACCATAGTGTTATTCTTTAAATCGAGGTCAAAATACGAAATTTCGGCACACTCCTTGCCAAGATGGCGGAAATTGAAGGAGCTGCTGGACGTCAATGGACTTTAACCTTATAACTAAAATTTTGATCTAGACAAAAATCTCATCACAGCTTGAAAGAGCATCACAAAATTAGTAATATTCCGAAGTTTCGTTGCGAAATGTTGTAAAATGCGGATAATATAGCCTTGCGAAATTTGCAATTTTCAGTAATTTTGTATTACAAACGGGAAATTGATACCCCAACACCCGATTGGGCTGTCAATTTCCCGTTTGTAATACAAAATTACTGAAAAACGGCAAACTTCGCAAGGCTATATTATCCGCATTTTACAAGATTTCGTAACGAAACGTAGGAATATTACTAATTTTGTGATGCTCTTTCAAGCTGTGATGAAATTTTTGTCTAGATCAAAATTTTAGTTATAAGGTTAAAGGTCCATTCCAGTCCTTTTCTATTGTTTTTGTCTGCGCGGTTGACACGAAGCTGGCTTCACTTTTGGGACTCGAGTTCTCACTCCAGATAAATATAGAGCTCAATGTTGAATTGATATTTATTACAATGGTTGGCCCACTGATCCGAAAATATAGGACTGGATAGATGAAGCCAATGGCGGTCGTATTGTTGTGAGCAACGAAAATTTACTGCAATGTTGCTGACATATTAGAATAGGTTCTTCACGTTGCTGGTGTTTGGTAGGAATACAAGAGTATTGCCTGGAGAAAAGTTGGTTATTATAATAAAAATCTCTCCTCATTACAAATATTCTCGCTTCAAAATTAATTCCTCGAATATAAAAGGTTGATCCATCCAGGCCCACTTGTGAGATCAATGGGGTTGGCCTACGATCAGTAATTATTGGAATTTCATAAGAATCGTTCTTCTATACAGACATTCCCGAATAGCGATTATGTTTCATGAAGTTAAATGCAAATCTTACCATGGCAGTTTCTGCTTGCTCAATGTGGACATTACTTGGAGAACATCGTTTAACATACATTATCTAACTATCTAATTACAAAATTTTCCTCGCTCAAATTATATTTTCCATCTTAGTGCCAAATGGATAACTTACATGCCTAGCTACTATTATACAAGTTCAGGGGCGAAACGTCCGTATTACGGTTTGGGGAGGGGGGGGGGGTTGCCCGACCAAAAGGGCGTGGCCGAAGTCATGCACGACGGACGAAAATCTCAGTCGCTAATTAATATTTCTTTTCCCAAAATTGTTGACAGGGTATTTTTTCACTAAGGTTCGAAATAATGTACCACCATTTGTAAAATTTTTTTCAGTAATATTTTCGTAAATAATTTTTTTCGTACAACCTATGACTTTTCAATCCGAGCCACTCAAATATTTTCAAAATTTGCCCGACGGAAATTGTATGAATATATACCCAACGAGATAGAGATTGGTGGTGTCACACACCCTCCACACCCCCGGTAGTTTCGCCCCGTGTACCAGTTTAATGCGAAAGTGTTGAATAGAACAAAGGTAACTCAGCATTAGTAAGACGTCTACGAGTTATTCACGCGTGTAGATAATCTAATGCTTAGTTTTGTTCTATTTATGCTTTCTTAAAAAAACCCTACAAAAAGTACTGTAGTCTACATGCATGTACATGAGTTATCGGACGTTGTCAATTGGCTGGAAACTCTGTCAATTAAAGGGTATTCTATGTGATGAATTACCTTAGTTCGTCGACAATGAAAGCAAGCGTGTTGGGTTTTTTCCAATAAATAAATTCATTTCGGCTTGGGAACAGCGGCAACCACGACGATCACAATTATCAGAAGTACAATTATCACCATCATTGCTTAGAAGAGAACAAAAGTTCATTCAGTTAGAACCAAGGCCGGATTTTGGTGGAAATGGTGGGGGAGGTGGAGAAAAATTTAGGGGAGGTGCAGCGGTCTAGCTCACGACCCCCATGGAAAGTTAGGGCTTACTGTAGAACGGGACAGAGTCAACGTGACGTATGCATGTAGTGTACATATGTATCAGTGTATTAATGAATTATGACTGTACAACCCATCCAAGTTTGCCCTTCATTACAATTACTACAAAGTTTCTTTCAAAACATTGCATTAAAAGGGTACTTGACACAGAAATGAATGGCTATCACTGTTTCAATTTTACAGAAAAAACTTTGTAGACCCTAAGCAACCAAAAAATGTCAAATTTTCACTTTGATCCATCTTTGAAACTTTCCCAAGGGGAGGTGCATAACTTTTTAGGGGAGGTGCAAAAATTCTCAAGGGAGGTGCAAAAAACACCGCGGAAAAACGTCTGCGCATGCGTCAACCTTACCTGTAATAGTATTGCGAACTTGATGAGAAGCTGAAGGCTCAAAATGGCGGTAAAAAGGAGTGACTTCATTGTGCGTCTTTACGGCCAGATTTCGAGCGCAAAAATAAACATGTCATTCTAAAAACTAGGAATAAATACAGCCAGAAGGTTCAAGAAATTGTGAATGTACACAAGAACATGAACTAAAGGTGATTGTTGACAAATTTATCGTCTGAAACATTTTGTTTATCAACTAAGGAACGACAATTTCCGAATTTTCGTTTGAGATACATTTCTTTAAAAAAAACTGTGTCGCTAAATATAAAAAATTTTCGTGTTCACAATAATTAAACTTTAGGATTTATTCTACAATTTGAGTGGGTTAAGAAGCTTAACTTTTCGAGAGTTTTCTTAACTTTTAAGTTTGAATTTTTGTTTTGAATAATTTTGCAAAAATTTTCGAAGTCGTGTCCGTTAAAATCAACAATTTTTTACATGAATTATATTTCATTCCATACTTTAAATGCCAGGACGCTTTCAATTAATGTCTAGTCTACCCATTTGCTATATTTTCTCGTTTGTTTTACCGATTTTTAACCAATTAATAAGCATGTTTTTGTTTTAGAAATTGATATTCAAATTCCCCGCCATATTTTCATAATTTGGTGCATGCGCAGACGTTTTTCCGCGGTGTTGGTGCAAAACGATATCTGGGGAGGTGTGCACCTCCCCACACCTCCCCTCAAAATCCAGCCATGGTTAGAACTCAATAAAACTTGTCAAGCAAAAATATTTGACCATGGATACGACCACGTCACGTCGTATGCAGGGGAACTTACCACAATTTGAAGATTTCGCAGTGACTTTCCGGACATGCGCATCTTCTCGTATTAATCTTCTATTTGTATTTTCAACACTGCTGTGAAGATCATCGATAATTTCTAAATAACGTCAGAAAATCATTATTGGTGAGCTCACGCGTGAATGTTCCGTCCTCTCCAAAAGTTGTAATTTTTCGAAAATGCAAGATCGTTATATGTTACAACAGTGCCTCCAACTCGGGGTAAAATCGCAATCGTCTGAGGAAGCGCTTTTCACCTCTGACATCGTGGGTTCGATTCTCGCTACGGACCCATGAGACTTATGTGAAAGGAGTCGGTCAACGCTCTACTGAAAGTCGTTGGTTTTCTCCGGGTGCTCCAGTTTCCTCACACAGGGAATGTTGAGAGGGTGGGTTGGGATTAGCCCCCTAACTGACCCTTGCACCGTAGCTGTGTTCCGTGATCAGACATGAGTCATAAGGTGGCTGCCAGAGTCACCCTTAGTAAGTCTTCGTCTCGATCAGGTTGAGCTGCATCCTTCGTACTTCAGCTTAGCTCTCAGCTGCAAGTAAGGATCATTAGCACACCCCACTTACTTACTTACTTACTTACTTACTTAAAATATTTCTGACTTACAAGCAAGGGGTCGAGATGGGGGTATGACATTGATTAACGTTTTTACCGTTCTGAGTGTCGACCTCATCAGTGATAACGTTTCCGATCAACTTTTGACGTTGGATGGCTTCAGATAACGCCTCCAAACCTCGGTCTTGTTCTGAAAGAAAAAAGTCCATCAAATTAGGGTTTAGGATTTCAACAAGGCAAACACGTTTGGCGTCGGTGTCGCAGTCGTCAGAGCAAGCGCCTTTCACCTCTAAGATCGTGGGTTGGATTCTCGCTATGGACTCATGTGAAAAGAGTCAGTCAACGCTCTGCCGAAAGTCGTGGGTTTTCTCCGGGCGCTCCGGTTTCCTCCCACAGGGAAAGTTGACAGGGTGGGTTAGGATAAACACAGTTAAGAAAGTAATATCACAATTGTTGTAAAGATAAATAGTCTAGGCTAAGTACACGGGTAAAAATTGATCAGGTTGTTCAAACAGTAGCGAACAATGTTGTGCTGCACCCCGTGAACAATATTGTTAACAAGTTGTTCCGAGTTGTTCAACCATCAGTACTGTTGCAAGTTGTTAACATGATTGTCAACAAGTTGCAACAACGTTGATGGTTCAACAACATTGTTAACAATATTGTTCACGGGGTGCAGCACAACATTGTTCGCTCCTGTTGTGAACAACTTGCATCAACATGATGATTTTTACGCGTGTAAGTAACATAAGTAAGCCGTAATACTTGATGTAATCGGTCACTGAAAAGCTCCAATGGGGAGTGAGCCGAATAATAGAGAGGTTAAGATACCCCGGTTCCGGTTTACGGGTACGGGTGATATACACGTACCCGTACCCGTAAACCGGGGAACGACTTGTAACTTACGAAATCCAAGATATTCCGGCGTGAGAAAACCTAACAGAGAATGGTAACTTTCGCTGTTGAGGTACGCATAAATTGTTGAAAACTTTGACGAGCATATGTGCATTATTTATTTGGGTAAGATGTTGAAAATTTTTACTATTTAAACGGCCCACATATAGTAAACAGAAAACACCCGTACCCGTTTGTCTTTTACGTGTAGACCTTCGTTTACCGCGGGGAAACGGGTAGAAATTACGGGTAAAAGTACCCGTAAATCGGAACCGGGGTATCTTAACCTCTCTACTGTAATGTTTTGGTGCCCGGTCTGACCTCATGCTAGATAAGCCGGCTATCTCAAGCTGGCAACTTCAAATGAGAATTTTACCTGCAATGATCTGATGTTGTTGCTGTACAAGTTCATTGACTCCTTTATTTCTTGTGTTATCAGATTCGACGTCAGCAGACCATGGATCCGATGAGAAACCACGTGACGAACCAGTGTCCAATAATGAACCTCTGATCACAGAAAATACAGGCAGGTATAAAAGTGGGCAGGTATAAAAAGCAGGTGTAGAATAGAGAAGACTGAAGACAATCAGCTATGGAGAAAGCCGCGGATTGATAAGGCTACAACAACACACGCAAAATCTCACAACTTGTCAACAAGATGTGTTCGCAACAGACTTGTAGCAAGCTTGTCAAAAAGTTGCAGCAATGTTGTTATTTTATCAAATTACTACAAGGTTGTCACTCACAACTTGTTGACAAGTTGTTGAATTGCAGGACGATAACAAGTTGTTGGAACAACTTGTAACAAGTCTGTTGAGATCCTAGGTAGCGGCCTACCTGCAAGTGCCTGAAGCTAACTGCAATATATCCTTGGTCAGAAGGTCTTATGCATGCTTAAGCAAGGTAGAAAATTTCAAGAACTTCCTTTTCAAATGCCAAAACTCAGTTTTCAAATGCCAAAACTCAGTTTTCAAATGCCAAAACTCAGTTTTCAAATGCCAAAACTCAGTTTTCAAATGCCAAAACTCAGTTTTCAAATGCCAGAACTCCGTTTTCAAAAGCCACAACTCCGTTTTCAAATGCCAGAACTCTGTTTTCAAATGCCAGAACTACATTTTCAAAAGCCAGAACTCCGTTTTCAAAAGCCATGTTAAAACAACCTTGTGGCAAGTTGTCAACAAGCTGGGAACAAGCAGTGCGAACATATCCTGTTGACAAGTTGTTGGAACAGCATTGCTACAAGTCTGCTGCAGGGTGAAACACAGAATCTTTGGCCATACTCACCTGCCATAATCAGTTTGGACAGACTCTTCAACAAATGCTGCTTTCAATCTTCTCTCTCTAAAAATATCAATGTGGTCATAACAAATTTTTAGAATCCATGGCAAACAGTCAGCTACTTTTCATTATTTTAGTAACAATAAAGGTCTGTACACACAATATGGTTATTAACCCGTTGAGTGGCAACACTCTCCCCCTGACGAGTAAAATCGTCTGGCATTAGACAGAGTAAAATAATAAAGTAGGGCGCATCTGGGTGCATTGCCACTTAAAGGGTTAAAGTCATAGGTGATTCTTATTCCAATGTATGCAATTGAATGTAAATGAAGAGGAATTGTGTCATCAGTAGTAAATGACATCAGTAGTAATTTTCATTACGTCAGAATAAATAATAATTGTATATAAGTGTTGTGTGCATGTGTAAATGGACTTGTAAGTAGTAGTAACTACTTGATGTAGCCACAGAATAGATACAGGACCAGAAGTGTCACTCAGACGATATTTTGTCCGAAATTTTACGAGTGCTGACGTGAAAATACGCCATCATATGACGCCATCCTGGAGTGCACACGGAAAACATAGGAAAACATAGGTACAAAGTGCCGGGTGCACTCCAGGATGGCGTCATAGCACGCAAAAAAATTTCGGACGTTTTCCTTCAGCCAAAACACATAGGAGTGACACTTCTGGTCCGGTATCTATTCTGTGATGTAGCCATCATTAGTTTGTAGTCGTGATTTTGTAGTTGACGTATGTGACGTATGTAAGCGTATGCACTGTTGTGATCGGCGGTTGGCATTATCACAGAATAGGAAGTTATACCAGAAGCGTAACTCTAGTCGTTTCCCTTATTGTTTGACGTCCACGAAAATTTTTAACTCGCTCACGTCAGGCCACGCCATCCTGGCTAGTACAGCCGGAAGTTTTTATCAGGATTTGGTAGGTACAAAGTGCCGGTTGTACTAGCCAGGATGGCGTGATTGATGACGAATCGCTTGTAAAAACGCGGACAAATATTTGCTCGAGTTACGCTTCTGGTATAACTTCCTATTCTGTGGCATTATTAAGATCTTTTGTGTGTTTATTTGTACCTCAAGAGGGACGATCAATGTGCTCATTAGTGACATGCCAGGCCATCAGAAAAGAGTAATTCCATGCCATTTCAACACAGGCATGACACCCACCCTCTCCAAATTTCTTTATATTTCGCAGGCAGTTAACATTGTGTGGGAATAGTTTAAGTTCAAAATTTGAGCATCGTAGCTGCAATAGTTTTTGAGATATCGCAATTCGAAATATGGCCCGAAAAGCAAAAAAGTGGGCGTGGCCAGTGCTAAATTCATCATTACCCTATTTTACATTTTGACCTGTAACTTCATACCCATACATGGTATATCCATCAAAATTTGCACAAATATGTATTTGTATGTGGAGATTTCAAATATTGCACTTTCATCTTTGTATCTGCAACCAGTAATGTGTTATGGCACAGCGAAGAGTCTAATTATGTGTTTCTGAAGACACCAAATATACATCATCTTTATTGGAAAAATTTTTATGGAAGCCATACAGACACAACAGTAATTTTTATTCCACATCATATCCACATGCTATTCTACTTTTAAGCAAAATTTGGTGATGGTTAGTTGCCTGCTTTAAAAAGTAGAGCCCTTTAAAGTTGTCGTATTTTCTAAATAACTTTAATAGTACGTTTTGGGTGTTTGTTAAGAATAAAATACATTCATTGAGAAATGAGACTGCCAAATACTTTAATGTTTGATTCTATCATTCTTTTTTAATAGTACATTATGTTCTCCAAGAGTAAGTGTTATTTCTTGTATCAAATTGCCTTTGATGATCAAAATCGATGCAGTATATATAGAGAAGTGCGTAAAACTTCTTTGTCTTTAAGCTGCAGTTTGTAGTATGTACTGCCTCCCAGTGACTATTGTTCGGAACACCAATGTCAGAAACAATGTTCTCATCCGAAACCCAACAAGTATTAGTGATTGACCAATTATTATCAATTATTCATCCAATAATATACCCGATTCTGATTTTCTATGACGTCATAATCCATTTCGAGATTTTAATGATAATTTCCAACGTAACATGTTACTAGTAGCAACCAAAGTTTGTTAAACCTGTACATAAATGACACGCTTCACGTATCATTTCCTCTCGGCAACGGTTTGCTCCACACCTACTAAGCAACACGCTACCGTTCGCGCAAGAGATTAAACAGTTGTTGTTTTCACATAAAAAAGTGCATTCAACGTGTATCACCGCGCAATATATATGATTTTTAAAGTGCGTATTTTCTCAACAATCGGTTTTACACAATCGGAAAATACAAATTATTCTACCGATTCCGATTGTCTACCGATAAGCAAAAATCGGTCCAATTCCGATTATAATTTTTTATTTATTTTTTTATTAAAAACATCTTGTAACACGGTAGCTAATCAACTAAAAAAAATATTAGCAAGGTTGTCGTTACTTTTCACTAGGCCGTGTACTTACAGACAGTATAATGCACCCACCCTCCCCGAACCACCCGAATAATATTAGAAAGACATTCAAAGTTTATTATTCACTCCAACCCCACCCAGATAAAATTATATAAAAATTTTATTTCTTTCATTCCAAACTTTAGCGGCAGCATAACCGAAAGTTCGTTTCATTGAATCCGTTTTTGGCTTCAACAACAACAACTTATTTTTGTTATTTTTTAATTCATATCGATCTGAATTATATAGTTTAAACATGTCCGAAATGTTTTCGTGAAAATGGCATGTAAGTGCTTTTGATACATATTTTAGTTGTTGCTCCATCATTCTTTCACCTAACGTTTTCCAATCTAGTTTCTTTAAAATATCTATGGAGCGTATTTCATATGAGTCACCTGTAATAACTTTTGCAGCTCAGTTTTGGAGTTTCTGAAGATTGCCTCTTAAAGATTCGCCACAGTTACCCCAAATCATCGAGCAGTGATCAAAGTGTGGTTGGACTAAAGCTCGATAAAGATGTTTAAGAGTTTCCGTTGAAACGTATGGCTGACACGAGTACACGACGCAATTATCGGTCAATCGCTAACAAGTGTCCTCTTACTGGCCAGAAATATGATCTTGCGATGCACTTTGGGTGCATAAACCTTAATAATTTTTGCACTTCTTTGATAATTGTCAACTTCTTCAATCAAATCAAGCCATTTTTCATCATCTTACAAGCATACAATAAAAGAGTTCACTGAAACTACAATTGGTTCACGAGCAGGGGTAGATAAGAAATAATTTGTATTGCATACTTTTGATACATTGATATTCTTTTTGCGTATGTACTATTAACAAATATGTAATTTTTAAACTTTTAAAACAAATTTTAAATATGCACCATCAATAAAGAAGGATCGAATGAAACATTAAAGTATTTGGCAGTCTCATTTCTCAATGAATGTATTTTATTCTTAACAAACACCCAAAACGTACTATTAAAGTTATTTAGAAAATACGACAACTTTAAAGGGCTCTACTTTTTAAAGCAGGCAACTAACCATCACCAAATTTTGCTTGAAAGTAGAATAACATGTGTATATGATGTGGAATAAAAATTACTGTTGTGTCTGTATGGCTTCCATAAACATTTTTCCAATAAATATGACGTATATTTCGTGTCTTCAGAAACACATAATTAAACTTTTTGTTGTGCCATAACACATTACTGGTTGCAGATACAAAGATGAAAGTGCAATATTTGAAATCTCCGCATACAAATACATCTTTGTGCAAATTTTGATGGATATACCATGTACGTGTATGAAGTTACAGGTCAAAATGTAAAATAGGGTAATGGTGAATTTAGCACTGGCCACGCCCACTTTTTTGCTTTTCGGGCCATATTTCGAATTGCGATATCTCAAAAACTATTGCAGCTACGATGCTCAAATTTTGAACTTAAACTATTCCCACACAATGTTAACTGCCTGCGAAATATAAAGAAATTTGGAGAGGGTGGGTGTCAAATCAGGTTTTTTTGTGTTGAAATGGCATGGAATTACTCAAAATGTTACATAAGCAATTGTATCATGTACACGGCAAAAAACGCCGAGCCCGTTGCTCAACAGGACTGAACAATATTTTGCTGCCCACGTTGTTCACACTTGTCAACAATATTGAACAATGTTGTTGAGCCTGAAACGGGTGTAACAATATTGTTCAATATTGTTGACAACTATGGACAATGTGGGCAGCAAAACATTGTTCAATCCTGTTTTCATCAGTATTGCATCAACCTGAGCGTTTTTACGCGTGTAGAAAGGTCTTAAACTTACTTTGTGGCAAGTTGATCAATCATATCCTGCCGTCTCTCAGCTTCACGGTCTGTTCTGTGTCGTAGTTAAGTACAGTAATTTACAGTTGTTGATTTTTATAATTGACTCTTATTTTATAATTTAAAACATTGGAAAGGATACATATGATAGGAAGAAGAGGCCTTGGATAAATCACTTTTTAATCTCTGCAGTTCTTTGGAGTAATTGTTAAGCATCAGACGACATTGGCCGTCCACCTTGAAGGACAATTATATCTGGTCAGTGGTCATGGTGATAATGGTAGCAAGTACTAATGGTGCTAGTGGTCATTATTATGATGATGGTGTTGATGATGATATAGTGTTGGGGTAGCCTGCATAGCTGGCGGTTTTAAGGGTTGGGGAGGTGCGGGCAACGGAAAAAACCCTGCCAGCTACCCAGGTTAGTGTTGGGGTAATGATGATGATCTATAGTGGTGATTTTAGTTATGATGGTGGTTGGATTGATGGTGATAATCAGATGGTGATAATCAGATGATGATAGTATTGGTGATAATGATGATAGTATTGGTGATGTGGTGATAGTATTGATGATGATGATAATAGTATTGATGATGATGATAGTATTGGTGATTATAATGATGGTAGTATTGGTGATGATGATAATATTGGTGATGATAATGAAGATAGTATTGGTGATGATGATAATATTGATGATGGTGATAGTATTGGTGATGATGATAATATTGGTGATGATGATAGTATTGGTGATGATATTGGTGATGATGATGATATTGGTGATGATGATGATAGTATTCATGATTGTGATAATATTGGTGATGCTGATGATAGTGTTGGTGCTGGTGGTGATGATGATGATTATCATGTTGATAATGGAAGTAATCACTAATGGTGGCAGCAGTCATGAAGATAGCAGCAACAGTGCAATTAATGTCAGTGGTGATGACAATATTGATAATAGTGGTGGTAATCATGATGATGGTATTGATGATGCTATGGTGTTGGGATGATGGTAGTGGTGCTGGTCAATAATTTACCTTGGAATAATTTGAACCAGATCTCTTCAACCTATTTTTTTCATTCAACCTTTCCATAATCTCACTCCCGAGATTTTCAACAGACTTACAGTCTGTCACCCTAAAACACATCAATAGATTAATTTTGAACTGTTAAATATATATAATATTGACAAATTAACTAATTTTTTATAAGCCCAAAACAAAGCTGTCTAAAACACTGCTACACCACTTAAATAATACCCTACATACTAACTATCTATACTAAAGCATAAACTACGTTTAAAATAACCAAAATAACACTGAAAAGAAAGAAAAATAATGAAAAATAAGCCTACCAAGTGTCCCCAGGCATCTTGAAATATTATTTCGTATACCCAGTAATTAAACAGGAAGCAACATTACGAGAGTTCACGACTTGTCAACGATCATCTACGACAACAGAAACTGACGACTACTTCCGGTACGTTTTTTCGTAAACAAAATGGCCGCTTTTTGAAGAATTAATTTTTCATATGCACCACAAAAAAGAGTAAAATTTAATACTTCTTGTTCAATGATTACGGTTTTTTAAATTGGATAGTATACGTAAGGGATTAATGTACCCTTCTGTGAAATTTCAGCGTGCTTCGGCTAATTTGGAAAGTTTTACAGCGGTCAGGAAATGTGACACTTCACAAAAGTTACAAAACGAAAATGGGCATTTTTCTGGAGCAGAAGCAAGAGAATTTTATGAAAGTTTACTTAAAGAAAGTATTGAGACTTGTTCAAAGCGTGACTCTAGGCGTAGTAAAAGGGGAGACAATGTAGAAAGTACTGTGAAAAATATTTCTAAAACCAAAAAAGTCGGTGCAAATGTGAATAGAAAGCCTATAAATGTAGATTTTAAGAGTATAAAAAGCCCATGTTCTAATACAAGGCAAGAAAATCTATTTCTTAAAATGGCACAAGATGGGGATGTTGATGGACTACGCAGGTTTATTAGGGATAATAAGGTTAATATTGATGCAACAGATCCATTTGGTTGGACAGCTTTAATGTGTGCGGCAAAAAGTGGCCATAGAACATGTGTTACGTTACTGCTGAGGGAAGGGGCTGATGCCAAATTGACAAACAATCAAGGTCAAACTGCTATGGATATCGCCAAAAAGTCTGGAATCCGAGATGTGTTTGACTGCCGTAGAAGATCAGCACAGAAACAAAGATCTGACGTTAGTTTGGAATTTGCGTCTACCGTCGAACAGACGTGCGATACTTGTAAGATAAAGTTTTTTGGATCAAAGCACGAGCATGATACGTCAACAGCACATTTGTTCAACTGCCAGTATAAGTCAGAAAGAACATTCTATCATATTCCTGAGGATAATATTGGGTTTAAATTGATGAAACGGAAAGGATGGGACAAAGAGAAAGGTGAGACAGATGAATAGATTTAGAACAGACAGACAGATGAGCAGAAGACAGACAGGTCATACACAGAGAAGACAGAATGACAGTGAATGCAAATACATATTATGCAAATACCAAACATACAAATAGAAAATTGTTTGTAGAAGATAATCACAGATATGTGTAACACATCAATTCTCACATGAATTGAATGTTCCATTCAGCTCAGCCAATAGACCTTTCCCCTTTTGAGTGAAATTTTGATCTGGACAAGTCTGGACAAAAATTTCATCACAGCTTGAAAGAGCACAAAATTAGTAATATTCCGGAGTTTCGTTGCGAAATGTTGTATTAAAATGTGGATAATATAGCCTTGCGAAGTTTGCCGTTTTTCAGTCATTTTGTATTACAAATGGAAATTGATAATCAGTTTGATCATCTGATTATCAATTTCACGTTTGTAAAGCAAAATGACTGAAAAACGGCAAACTTCGCAAGGCTATATTGTCCGCATTTTACAACGTTTCGCAACGAAATTTCGCAAAGTTACAAATTTTGTGATGCTCTTTCAAGCTGTGATGAAATTTTTGTCCAGGCATATCTAGATCAAAATTTCACTCATAAGGGGAAAGGTCTATTAGTAGCAATCATTACTATTATCAAAATGCAACAAGTGTTAAATAGCCCACTCAGTCATTCACCTTTAATTAACAAGGCTTTTCTAGACAGGCACACAAAATAATGCCTAAATTGGTTAACCCATTAAAACCGCAATGCACCCAAATGCGCCCTACTTAATTATTTTCCTCTAACGCCAGACAATTTCACTTGTCAGGGGAGAGTCTTGTCCAATAATTAATGGTTAAACATGATTTGCATATCAGATTGAAACTTGTCAAATGCTCTACAAAAATTAAAGTAGTTTCACATGAGTGTAGACAATGTTTTATCTGCGACTGTTCATTTTTACATACAAACAACAGAACATAAGACAGTAAGACACACAAACTTATGTTTAACAATTTTACTGAGAATTCTACGTACTAGATAAAACATGAGCAGCCGAAGGCGAGAGTTTGTATATCAGATACAGATCGGATGCGAATGTTTTATCATACTTAATACCCATCTTATGAGATCATTGGCGAAGTAATTTTTAAAATAAACATTGTCTAAGCCGAGAAAATCAAAGCTGAAGTTTATGTAAATCAGGACAAATCTTTATCCGATTTACAAACATTGATTAAACATTCATTTCTTTTGTATTTTCCTCGTGAATTATTTATGAATTTTTTAATGTACAATAGAACACGATCAAAATGTTATAAAAATGTCCATAAAATGTTAAATGTGTGGCATAGAAGAGGTGAAATTTCTGCATAAATCCTGAAAATATTTATTTTTACATCGCCTTGTAGGTCTCGGTCCTGAAGGAACTGGGCGTAAATTTCCTGTCAAGACAATTCTGAAACAAGATCGTCAAGGCTTGGGAAACAAAAGCAAGAAGAAAGCCAAGATCACACATTTCTCAGCGTGTGATACGAGTGCCGTGGAAAGCACAAGGGCTGGAATGTCAAGCAGAGGATTCAGAGTTCCACGACAAACGTCGACGAAAAAACTTATTCAAAAACAGGAGCGGGACAGAAAGTGGGAACACAATTTGAGAGTTTATATGAATACAGAATGAATAAATATTTATTATTTACATTTAAATGGTTGTAAAATCAAGAATAATATACATTTATTTACAGGTGGCTGTATTTACAGTTGTAGTACACTGGATATTTATATATACTATACATACATTATCAATATTGTAATTATTATTGAATTGTCTTAAGACTTAAGTAACTACCACAGACAAAAAATTTTCTGAAAATATCATTGTTAAAAGTTAAAAATTTTCAACTTCAAAATGTTTTGCAACAAAATTTGTGTCGGCCAATCACATTTTATAACATTTTCTTCCTACAGAAAATTCCAGGACCATTAATAACTTAAACAAAAATTGTTCTCCTCTTAAAAATCTACACCCCCATTTCATCTTGTAAGATACCAATCCCTTAAAAACGCATCATCTTGACGCTTGGACAACTCTAATTCGATGTGTGTGAATGGCTCTCGCCAATGTAGCATATAAACCACATCTTCATCCCTAACAACAGATTTCACCCAATCCAACATCCGATTACAGAAATTCAAACAAACACTTCCGGCCCATGTGTTCTGACTTTCCGCAACCGAGCTTGGCATTTCCAGAGTATTAAATGTCTTGAGTTTCTTAACCACCCCATCGTCGTTTCGAAAACCGCAAACAACTTTCGGAATGCCAGCCAAAAATGACTGAGCCCACCATTTTAAAAGCTTATACCTTTCAAATGACCATTGCATACGGTCGTTCTCAACAATCCTGCTCGTTTTCAGCTCAATATAGTTTAAAGGAGGGCTGGTGTTTTTAGAATTATTTCTAATGCAACAGTCAACTTCTGCTCCAAAAACCATAGAGTGTTTGTCAAGCCGGCAACGAACGACTGAACAAAAAGCTTCCGTGTTGTTTATTGGCTCGTCGATACCCTTACATTTTGTCGGCTCCCTCGGACTTGTGACATAGTCCTCAAACTTATAACCCCAATAACACATCTGGTCCTGACGTTCTGATTGGTTCAATCTTCGTTGACGTGCCTCGGCTGTTTCCACTTCACTGATGTAGATTGTTCCTTTATTTAAAGACACGGCCATTTGCCACGGTTCTTTCCTCTCGTATGGAGTGCACAGGATTTTTGTCATGTGACCTCGCCATGTAACAAAGTCCGTATGAAGGCTAGTAAAGGAAATATGCGTTTCTGTTAAGGAGCACACAAAATTCTTTAATTTAATTATTGCGTTGTGCCTGCCCTAATGCACCCTACTTTATATTTTACTTTAATTAATGCCAGACAATTTTACTGGTCAAGGGGAAAGTCTTGCATCTTTATAATGGATTGAACAGCAATGTTCTCATACAAAATTACTATTTTACCCTAATATAATAATATAGTTAAAATTGCGGTTGCCATAGAGTATTTTAATAAAACACAAAACAATACTATTGTTTTGTGTTTTTCGGAGTGTCTATTGTTTTGTGTTTTATTATAATAATATAGTATTTTCAGATGTAATAGGTGTTATATGGTGTAAAAGCTAACCTCTTATCATTTTGTGATTGACTATCCCCACTTAATGCAAACTTCTCAGGATGTTTCTCAATCCAACGTAACATGTCATCCAGTCTGTCTTTCTTTTCTTCGTCCCGCCTTATGAACTCATTGTACCCCACTCTTAGATCAAAATTCACAATTTCTGGCGGGCTATAAAAACGAAGTCTGCTATCGTTATCTAAAAACAACCTGTCCTCGTCCAAGGAAAAGCAACCCACTTGCTTTGGTTGCCTAAAATACGGGCATTCGCCTTCGAATTTGTCCACAGGCTGCACACTAAATTTTGACACAAGTTTGTAATCGGCGGCCATTTTGTTTGTGTTCGCGTTTGCTTGACTCCCTCTACGCATGCGTTGAGTCTCAGTAACTCACATACATAATGTAAACGCGTCCCACAAGCCTTGCGTATATATGAAACTGTCAGTCTGTCTCTGTGTAGTAAAGTGAGTAAGGTGGTAGTTACCGATTAAGGAGGCACTCTCCCCGTAGTTCGAACTCTCCCCCGTAGCTCGCATCCTCCCCCACGCCCCAGGTGGCACTTTTAGTATATTATTATACTTTTTTTCTTTTTTTTTCTGTGTTGGTGTAATGTACTCAGGTGAATACGATGCTTGTGATCTTACTCTGAGTGTATATCCACACCAGACAAGCTTGAAAAATATGCCTGACCACGGTGGGAATCGAACCTACGACCTTTGGAATACTAGCCCAATGCTCTGCCAAACTGAGCTACGCGGTCAGGTCGGTTCGAGTATGTGATATTTCGGAACAGAATCTAGTTCCTTCGATATCAATGTAATCTAATAATGACCAACATAGATAATGATTATATTGTTATTCTAACAAGTTTCACAGCCATCTCCCCTTCGATAGGCTATGGAGTTGGTTACAAGAATATTACATATGCAGGCAATGTGTACCCAGTGTCCCAATCCATTCCTATTCGCTATGTCCTATAGTTAATAAATATTGTTATGGGCCATTTCCCATTCCATACGGCCGTCCAGGTAACGCCATAAAAGGACTCTAAAACGTCTTTGTTTTGCACTTAACTAAGCCTGCGCCAATCACGCCATGGTGTTTTAACTGCAGGAAATTGGGCCACATTCTGCGCCATTGTTTAAATTCCCAGTTTTCGCTGCCTGACGCCCATCAGCGAGCCTTGTTTCACAGTTGGAAAATGCGAGCGATTTTGAAAGCTTGACAATGAATGAAATATATGGTTCTGCCAAAAATGTCATGAAAAAATGCGGAGTTTTTGACCACCCGTCTTAAAAGCAATCATATTATATATTTAAATGCATTTGTTTACAAGTTCGGAGATTAAACATGACATACGTGCACCGTCAATTGAAAGGCAACAGTTTTTGATCCAGTTTTCATGGTTTAAAGGCTACAGTGGGATACTTCAAGAAAACGGCTTAAAAAATTGCATTTAAAGTTTCCATTAGTTGAGGTAGGGAATAAAAATTGTTTTGGGGAGTTTGTTAACAAGAGAAGCTTACACAAGGGACAGCGTCAATGCTTATTTTGCCCTTGACGTTGTATCAGTGATGGTTACAGGATAGCAGATTGTGGAAAATTGATTTACATGCATTTCTACGCAATATATTAACTACCTGTATACCAAACACATTAATTCTTCTGACCAAACAAGGGTTTATACCATTATATTTCTGTTGTCAGATAACAGTCGAGTACTCGAGTGCCCATGCACGTACCACTTTACTGCGACAAATTTGCGACAGTGCATGCTTACTTCTCAGTGAATTGAATATTGCCATAGACTGAACGTTTTTGGCTAATATAACCGCTTAACTTTGTTGTCTTTAGAAACTAGAGTAGGAGAAATGTAGCCAATTTACAAAGCGGCTCAGAAATGCCACGTAGATGTATGCTTTGTTTTACGGACCCCCGCCTCTAATGCAACCAAAATTTTTTACTAAAACACACATATTTGCAATACATGTCTTCGGTAAATAAATACGAATAAACGTTTGGTATTATCAAGTTTTAACGTGAAAACATACACGCTCGATACACAAAATGTCTAACAGTGGTTTGGAGGCTGATTTCTAGGTCACATGTCCAAATGTGATGAGAAAATATAACACAGCATACTGTGAACACAAAAACTGTGTAAGCCTTACATCATCACTATCATCATTAATGACATTATCATTCAGTATCACCATTTTTTATATGATATATTCAATACCATCAGTGTCTGAACCGATTGAAGGCCCGTTTATTTATCTATAGACGTACTCAACTAACGAGCTTTATTCGTGACTTTCTAATCATGGGTGACCATGCACTGACAACTAGTAGATGTACACGTGTAAAACTCTCACGTCTTGTAGCAAGTCTGCCAACAAGCTTACAAGCCGTCAACAAGTTGTCTTCGCACTGCTTGTCCCAAGTTGTCATCAAGTTTGGAACAAGTTGTTAACAATTGTAACAACCTTGTTGATACTATCAGACTTGTTGCAAGGTTGTTCTAACAAGTCTGCTACAGTCTTGATATAACAATATTGTTACAACCTTGTGTCCTCAACCTTGTAACATATTCTTGTTTTACTCATGCATGACTGTATCAGACTTGTCAGAACATCCTTATAACAAGTCTGATAGTGCCATCAAGCTTGTTACAAGTTTTTTACAGCGAGGGGCATTTCACTCCAAAAAAGCGTACGGGATTTGCGGATTTTTAAAAATCCGCGGATTTTTTAGCGGATTTTTCCCGGATTTTTTAGCGGATTTTTGAAGAGAAAATCTGTTGGATTTTCCGGATTTGTTTGGATTTTCCGGATTTGTTCGGATTTTTTCCGGATTTTTTGACGAAGTGTACGGGATTTTTGGAGTGAAATGCCTTTCGGTTTACAGCTTTGTTCCAAACTTGTTACAACAACTGGGAACAAGCAGTGCGAACACAACTTGTCGACAGCTTGTGAACAGATTTGTAGCAACTTGTTTGCAGACATGTAACAACTTTTGCGTTTTTACGTGTGTATACCATACACGTAAAAATCTCACAACTTGTCAACAAGATGTGTTCGCAACAGGCTTGTAGCAAGCTTGTAGACAAATTGTATAACAATGCTGTCATTTTATCAAGTTGCTACAAGGTTGTCACTCACAACCTGTCGACAAATTGTTGAATTGCAGGACGATAACAAGTTGTTGGAACAACTTGTATAATTATAATCAGTCTGTTGAGTTCAACAACCTTGTAGCAAGTTGTCAACAGACCGTTGACAACTTGTCAACAAGCTGGGAACAAGCAGTGCGAACACGGAACATATCTCGGATGACAAGTTGTGTTGGAACAACCGATTGCTACAAGTCTGCTGCAGGTTTGTTACAAGTTGTTCGTTGTTACACGTGTATAGTATAATCATGGTCACAAATATCATATAATTATATCTTCATCATCATTATATAACTTCAAAATCAGTGGAGATCGTTTTTTCCCATTTTTGTTGATTGACAAACGGTATGAATATAACGTCAACCTCATCTGTGAACGAGATTGATATCGCAATAGGCCACGGTTAGATAGTTAACCTTTAAACCAGTCAGGTTAAAATAATATGACAATCAAACCAATTTCGAGAATTTTTGATCAAACCAAATAGCATACAAATTGCAAAATGAGTACATTGGGTTGACGTATAACCGCTGCGACCAAATTGATGAATTTGACATGCAGTAACTTTTCGATTACTAAAAGTTATTTTCTTTGTTGTTTCGAGGTGAATATTTTGATTGGCTTCGCTTTGGGTTGCAGTGTAGTGCAATTTGAGGCAAGTTTATTAAATAGTTTTATGAGGCCGGAACACTTCTTAATCTTGCTGCAAGGATGTGCATATTTTTACATTTTCTGAATTTAATTTCTCTTGGCTATAAAGGAGCTGTTGAAGTGAGAATGTCTCGTGTGATAAAGTTCATTCTGGTGGTTTGTGTACTGATGAACACTATAAACGGTAATGGTTTACATTATTTGATTTCAATCAGTTAATTTAGTTTAGTTTTAAAGTTAGTTAAATCAGTTTAATATGGTTGAATTGTCTATCTACAGGGACGCCGGAACGATGTGAAGGCAAGGGGGGGGGCAGATTTTCGTGAAAGGGTACTTTTGAATTGATATATACTAAGAGATGTTTGCAAAACATCGGGAGTTGAACTTCGCCTAATCATGTTTTCTATTTATTGGATGATAGGGGTGTGAGGGGGTTCTCCGCCAGGCGATTGCATGTGCTATTCTTGAAGCTCGATGACTGCATTTCTTGCGTTTTCTGAAGCAAATTCGTAAAAGAATTGCACTAACATTTCTGACAATTCGCTATTTCGCCAAGGCAATCCTTTAAATTGAAAGGGCACCTTTGCCCCCCCTTGCCCCCCCTGGTAAAGGGCAACAGGGGCGGCTGCCCCTCTTGCCCCCCCCCCCCAGTTCCGGCGTCCCTGCCTATCTACCTACCTTGATTCCGAATAAGCAATCAAAATTAATGATTGAATGTGGTAGATACCACAACATTCTCCGAGTGACGAATATATAAGCTTTGTAAATCAAATGAAATACAAAATGAAGAACACTCCGTGGTCTCATTTCATGTGATGCCTATGGCTATGACAATATTAGGCAAGACTTCCTCACTGTTCTCACCAACAATACATACCAAAGAGAACAAAATCTATCACTTGACATATTAAAGTCAACTGAAAAGGAAACCATTCTAAAACTATCCAAGTTTGTTTTTTCCTGTTTCGAGCTAAGTCTAAGAGATAAACGCTTTGAAACCACGGATGCTGAACGCTAAAGTTCAGTATTGTCGTATTTGACTTCTATCTTGTAAATAGCTTCTTTACCTTATTGTAATCTTGTAGTAGGTCATATTTAGCCTATAGTAGTTACCTTTAGTTTCTATGTTTAGTTATTGTAGTTAAAGCTTTGGCAATACCTGTAACTGTTGGTCATGCTAATAATGTCAATATACAACAACTGCTTACCTACCTACCTATAACAAAGCTCATTTTGTTTAGCCATGCTGAATGAAACATTCTCGTACTCCGACACTGAACATCGCCTGATCCATGACTTGCTTCATGGCTACAACAAATATGCACATCCTAAGAGTTACATTGAGGAAAATGTGAATTTCACAGTCGTGTTTGGAATTGAAATTGTCCAGCTCGTTGACGTGGTAAGGTATAAAAATAGAAATGTAACTGATGGTTCATTTGGACAAAAATGTTCTTAAAAAAAAGGTACCAAGGCTCAGTGACAAGATTCAACTGAATTCGCTTGCGTGTGTTTTCCATTCTTCATCTTCAGTTTGTTTTGCAGCAAGACAAAAATCAGAGGATAATCACCAACTGTTGGGTTAGGCAGGTACGATGATTCTTCTATCTCAAATAATAATTCATGTGAGTAAAATAGCCAACCATATTGCTTTATTTTGCTCACATGATAATACTGGATACCTGGTGAACTATATTGATTCAGTCCTAGGACTTGATCAAAATTAATTCAGTCCTTGGACTGGATCAAAATTAATTCACCTAACTTTAAGTAGTGCGTGATATATCCATGTATGAGATGTCATTTCGGATCCTGCAATTCGGACTGGACTAGATTTCAAGTCCTCGCATTTTGATCCAGGCTTCGCCTCGGACTTGATCAAATTGTGCGGACTTGAAATCTAGTCCAGTCTTCATGGTTGGATTTGAATGTTACCAAAACGGCAAAACCTCATGTCCAGCGCTGAATTACTTCAACTGTTTGTTTAATTTAGCAATGGACCAATCTTGCTTTACGGTGGAAGCCTTCAGATTATGATAATATAACTAGAATAAGGATAAGTGGTGATAAGGTCTGGATTCCTGATATACTATTATACAACAGGTAGGTAGTAGTATTTCTTAGATCGTTTTTCAAAAGTTTCAAACATAAAGTTAAGGGAGTTATGTAGTGCTAGTTAGGAAACAACAGTGTTTTCTGATTTACCAGAGTTGTAGACTCGAGTCGTGTGACTTGGACTCGAGTCGGACTCGAGTCGCAATTTTTGTGACTTGTGACTTGACTTGTTAAAGAGACTGATGACTTGTGACTTGACTTGGACTTGGACAAAATGACTTGTGACTTGACTTGGACTTGCAAGAAATGACTTGTTACCAACGCAAGTCAAACGTAAATATCTAGTGAAAATCAAGTTTTCCAAAATCTTTGTGTTGATCGATCGATCGTCGTGTTATACAATTTGGGCAACGACCTTAGTACATATCAATGGCATCGACAGAATTTGTGCCGGCGTATTTTCTGACAAAGTGGGGTTTTTCGCAATTTCGTGGCAAAATTTCTGACATAAAACAACGACGCCATATTTACATATTTTGCCGTTTTGCGTGGGAAAACATGGCCACATGTGGCAATAAAATGACTTGTGACTTGACTTGAATTGACTTGCCACTCGGAATGACTTGTGACTTGACTTGACTTGGATTTAGACAAAATGACTTGTGACTTGACTTGAACTCAGACCAAACGACTTGTGACTTGACTTGGACTTGCAGGAAATGACTTGTAACTTGACTTGGACTTGCAACATAGGACTCGTTAACAACTCTGTGATTTACCCACAGTTTGCGAAACATGGACAGCAAAGAATTTTTCAAAAATGCACAAGTTGTTGCAGGCCTGCAAATAAGTTGTTACAAATTTGTTCACAAGCTGTCGACAAGTTGTGTTCGCACTGCTTGTTCCCAGTTGTTGTAACAAGTTTGGAACAGGCTGTTAACGACTTGTAACAAGCTTGATGGCATTATCAGACTTGTTACAAGGTTGTTCTAACAAGTCTGATACAGTCATGATATAACAAGAATGTTACAAAGTTGACGACACAAGGTTGTAACAATATTGTTATATCGCGACTGTATCGGACTTGTTGGAACAATCTTGCAACAAGTCTCGTGATATCAACAAGTTGTTCCAAACCTTTTGACAAATTGGGACAAGCAGTGCGAACACAACTTGCTGACGGCTTTTTGGCAGACTTGCTTTGCGTGTGTAGTGTTCCACCTTATCGAAACATGGGTAGGAGACATTTTTTCTCCGCGGCGATTATTAGGCATTCAAATTTTTACTTGTTCCCTAAGCTTCCAACATGAGCAACGACTAAACACGCAAAAATCACACATCTTGTAGCAAGTCTTCCAACAAGCCGTCAACAAGTTGTGTTCGCACTGCTTGTCCCAAGTTGTCAACAGGTTTGGAATGGAACAAGCTGTTAACAACTTGTAAACAACCTGGTTGATATTATCAGACTTGTTGCAAGGTTGATGGTATAACAATATTGTTACAATCTCGTGTCGTCAACCTTGTAACATTCTTGTTATATCATGACTGTATCAGACTTGTTAGAACAACCTTGTAACAAGTCTGATAATACCATCAAGCTTGTTACAAGTTGTTAACAGCTTGTTCCAAACTTGATACAACAACTGGGAACAAGCAGTGCGAACACAACTTGTCGACAGCTTGTGAACAGACCTGTAACAACTTATGCGTTTTACGTGTGTAACATTTCTCATTCTCATCTTTAACCAGCGCCGACACGCAACAGCCGAGCGGTGGACTATCCAAATACCACACCCAGATCATCATTGATCACGAAGGACGCCACTCGTGGTTCACGCCCACCTCATTCATTAGCACGTGCAAGATCAACGTGCGTTACTTTCCGTTCGACCGCCAGGAATGCGTCATGAAATTCGGGTCTTGGACATTCCAAATCAACGACCTCGATATCGTTGGCGACTCGAACCCTATTGTGACCAATCAGCTACTGCGCAGCGCGGAATGGGACTTACTCAGCGTTCAGGAGGACCGACATGTTAAACAATACGCGTGTTGTCCTTTCCCCTTTTCAGACCTTACCATAAAACTGGTTATTCGTCGTCGGCCTTTGTTCTATATTTTTAATCTGATGATTCCTTGCTTCATTATAATAGCAATGGTTTTAATGGGATTCCTTCTCCCCCCGGAAAGCGGAGAGCGTACGACGCTAAGCATCACGGTGCTGCTTGCAATGGCAGTGTTCTTGCAACTGCAGGCCGAACATTTACCGAGGAATTCCGAACAGATCCCGCTGTTAGGGATATTTTATATCACAGTAATGGCCGAAGTCGGATTATCCCTCATGGCCACGTGTTATGTGCTCAATATTTTCCACAAGAATCCCGGTGTACATATAGTTCCCATGAATCCATTAGTGTCCCGGTTTTTTCTCGACACGATGGCGCCGTTGCTCCGACTCTCACCTCCGACGACCGAGTGGACACCGTACGACGCCGACCGCATTCGACCGGCGATACGACCAAAGGGCCTAGCTAATCCGCAGGCTTTAAGTGACACCCAAGTTCACTTGATCGGAGAAACCTCGGAAAGAGTCGAGATTACCGAAACCATCCATACTCCTCCAGGGGGGATTGGACGTTTGACTAGAAGCATCAGACCCCGCCATCCGTCGACTAAAAGACCTCTTACTAATGCAACGTCAGCAACTTTTATCAGTGGGGCCGATAACTCGTCCCCAAGCCCCAAAATGTCTCACTGTTGCTCGGTGTTGTTAGATAAAGCTAAACAGAAACGATTGATTCGATTGGATCAAGAGAGATGGAGATATTTAGCTTTGGTTCTTGATCGTATTTTCTTCTTTCTTTTTATTATAACAATTTTTATATCTACCATTCTTATTTATTCCCAAGTCAGGTTTGAAATATGATCATAACGAAAACGATCGATTGTCTGAGATTTAATTAAAAGGACTTGTAAAATTTGACTATAAGTAATGTATGTATGGATATATGACGTCACGACATGACGTCACAGCAGGAAGTAAAATCTTTTTGATTAGATCCTATTATAGTTGTAACTACATTATAATTGATTCTTAATCAGGCTTTCTGTTGCTGTCTTCTTGTTCGCCGTTACAATAAATGTACCCGATGTTGCTGAGTCGGTAACTTAATAACTTATCAGGCATGTTTTCGCTCGCTCTGGTTTTAAGCATGAAGGTCTCACCGTAAATTTGGGGTATTCAATTTGCAATTATTTGACAGGGTCGGTACCCAGTGGTTTGCAAGATGTAACCGACCACTGAATCGTTGAATCTCACAATATTGACAAGATCATGTGGTTGAAGCATCAGTATATACGGCTGATACTGTAACTTATATTGATATACTTTGTGCAATGCTTTCTGTCAGTTACATTATACGCGCAACAGAAATGCAGTTGCGCAAACGCTACGATGTTGCAGGGTGTGTAACAGGGTTGCCAAGGTTGCCGTACAAGTTGTCAGTATATATAATTAATGTAACACGTGCAGTCTTCAATTTCTAACTGACTTGGCACAAAATAGGACTTGCTAAGTTACACTAGAAAGAGGTTTGAAACAATACAACATTTGATCAACTATAATATATTTGAAGCGGAACATTTCAGTTTCTTGAAGCCGTTCCGTTACAGACATATCTCTTAGATGGCTTGGCTTTTAAAGTATAGCTTTTTATGTAGCAAGCAACGTTACTTGTAAAAGACTATTATACCTTAGTTTAGAAACGAATAATCTAAAATAAAAATAATCATTGAATTGCACTCATTCAGTCGCCATTCAGTGTGAATCTGGGAGGGAAACCGAAATAAATTAAGATCAATCGGAACCCGGTCGACTGCTTATCATAATTCCAGCTCGTATCTATGTTTCCACGGCAGGGGACATAATGTCCAAACAGTCTCACAATCTGTTGCCAATTGATCTCAAAATTCGCAACAAATTTTACATTGAACAATTTTATCCTATATTTTAGCGTAAATTCTTACCAAATTCCCAATTTTTGCTATAGATTTCGTACTTTTTCGCGTACAAAACATCGACAGCAATCTGTTCCTGTTTGTTTATTAACCCCATTTCATGGGGTGGTGTGATTTCAAAATTTGATTGTTCAAGTTTGTCGTTCTATGTAATGAATGTTGTTTGATAAACAACGCCTCGAGAGGTCGTTATTGTGTCACACAGTGGGGCTAATTCTGGCCCGAATTTAGAGTTAGCACTTTGTGTTTCAAACGGGAAAATTATAATGTCATGACTAGAGAATAGAACCAAATTGTTTTAGAACATGCTAGTAAGACCTTTGCAATATTTTTCTGCAATCTGATTGGCTAATGGGCACAGAAATAGCAACATTCGCGCACAAGAACACCATCTGAGAAGCGTCAACCAAATTTGGTGTGATGGTATGAGGCATATGACCTTTGACTGTAGCGTGATATTAGCCAATCAGAAGCAGGCATGGTACTATATGAGTTCATTTCCCTGAGTGAGGGAGTTGTCTTTTGCGGTTGACAGTCAACTCTAGTGTTGTGTCTCTCTGCCGTTGTGTGCAAACGTTTTGACCTCTCAATAACTCGAAGCACTTTTCGCTTGACAAACTTTTCAACATGTCAGGCGAAGATCCAGAGCAGTATTTACGTCCTACGGACAAAGCTACCAGGCTTGAACGGACGAAAACGTTCGATGCTAAAAAGTGGCTGTGGATACCGGACGAGAAGGAAGGCTATCTGGCCGCTTCTGTTGTCTCGACGAAGGGTGATATGCTAACTGTGGAAACATCAGCTGGCAAGGTAGGCTACTTTAACTATTATGTACTTATTTAGCGACGAAAACTGTACTGATAGCCTTAATACATTCTGCCATAGCCTTGCAACCTTGTACTAATACCGCACAGACATGACATTATATCTGGCTGTGGGATATGTATATTTATATGGTACATACATCTGTGTGCTAGGCGTTCGATACAATTTAACCCAATATACTTATTTAGCGAGTGAAACTATCCATATAGCATCACTAAATCTATTATTGTTCTGTAACTTTTTGACACAGACATTTGCAATGGGATGTACAATATTACATGGTCAATTGTTATGTCTGTTAGGCAGGCCATGCTAGCTTATACCATATGTCTGTTGTGCTGCACATGGAAATTTATACCAAAGGCTAAACCTAAAATATTTTTATAATTTCCCTTGCAGAAAATCGATATAAACAAAAATGACACCCAACAGATGAACCCTCCGAAATTCGAGAAATGTGAAGATATGGCTAGCTTGACCTATTTGAACGAAGCCAGCATATTGTATAACTTGAAACAACGTTATACGTCGGCTCTTATATACGTAAGTAAATCTGTGCCTTGATTTTGTGCTAAAAGTCCGTTCGTTGTGGTATACAGAGACGAACAAAGTATTTGTTAGTACAATAAAGTATACAATGCCAAATACGGGACGGCCTGTGTGCAGTTTGTCTGGAAACTAAAATGCGAATTTTTTGCACAGTTAATTAAAAACTAGTTACTGCAAAGTGCTGCAGTATCTTACAATAGTTTAAAGTTCTCTTCAAAACGTTACTTGTTATATCATTTACTTACATACTTGGACGTTATAAGTAATTTGTGTTTGATATGTTAATTAAATGGTATTCATATTAAATGCTGTTAGATTCGTCTTAACTGTTGCCGGTATCTGTGTTTTAATATACATACACAGCAACGATAAACACTCAAGTGTTGCAGTGTTTATTTAATAATCCCTTTCCAAAACATGCTTCGTGTGAACAGTTTTGAAATTGCAAGCTCTGAAGCGTCTTTCAAGGGACCAAACGCTTTTGCTTGACTACAAAATTCAAAACAGATTTTGAGCTAATTAACATGACAACGAACAAGCGTTAAGTCTATTGAAATCCATTGAAAATTGTTAATAAAAACTTGAATATATTAGCATCACGCAACTTGTCATTGTGTAACAAAATTCACCTAAAACATCGCATGCGAATTCTATGTTTATGCTTGTCCAATGTTCAAACAGTTTATTACTGTCAAATATGTAAAAGTCAAACGGGATTACTCGCAGACAAAATGGCAGTCGAGTCATGCTCACCTGTGTGTAAATATGGCCTAATCTGTTTGACAATGCTCAATAATTTTAGCACAAAGTACTTTGGGAAATAAACAGTCTAGATACTTAATAGTGCGAATCAATGAATATGTAAAATGTAGCGTTTTGGGACACTCTGGCCGTTGTAAAAGACTGCCAGAAAATTGTTACTATGAAAATAAAGTATCACGCAGTGTTTGCGTAACAACTATCGTATGTCATTCGATGCTGTTTGTCGAAACAAATATTTTTGGGTATTTTTCGAGAATGTAAACACACACAGTGGAAATAGTCAGATATTTAGTTTGCTTTCGTTTATTTTTCCGTTTTTGCCCACACAGGAAAAGTGAAAAGAACGGAAACGTTTCGCTATTAACTGTAGTATATTTTATCCCATACCGCGAACGCAAAAAGCGGGGATTAAATATTTAATTGTGAAACGGTGACCCCGGTCACCGAAGTCCAGAAATTCCAATATATGATCATTTTAATATTATGCCCATATTTGGGAACCTTGTTGAAATCCGGTTGTGCAAATTTGGGATTTTGCTTCATCCTGTTTTGTGAAAAATTGCATTAGAACTTGTTAGTTTGAAAGTTTTTGGATATAAATATACAGTCTAGCGTTGGAGACGCTTGTAATTTTGTGAAATTACGCCCAGTTTTGTGGTTTTAACCACCAGAGATATGCAATCATTCGACCCTACCTATATGTTTTGTTTAATAATTGAAATTCTATCGCTTTTCTTTGTTAATTTGACACCTCAAACTGAGCACGAATTTAACACAAATCTGTTAAAAGATGGAGCTTTTTAGAACGCTTTAAATTGCTACATTTTGCAACAATGTTTTTGAATGTAATACAAGTGAATTAGTGTTATTTAAACGAGGGATAATACCGTACTTAAACGTGGATTTTCGACCCGTTTGTCTTTCGGATTTAAGCTTAAATTGACGGGTTGAACAGCTCTTGATTTGCGAAGACGATTAACTTTATTGACATAGTCGAGTCTGGCAGAAATTTCTCGCTTTACATTTATCTGTTACAAAATGTTACAAGCTTGTTGCAATGCCCTACGCTTTGTTATGCGAATATGTTTTTCTCCTGGAAGGAAAGAGTTATTAATCTTTGAGATTTTGGAAACATTTTTGAAACAGCTGTTTCTCAACTCGGGGATTAATATTTATGCAAATTAGATAATTTCAGTGTAAAGTGAGCATATTTAGCATAATAGTTTTCACAGATTACGAACAACTAAAAAGCTATAAATAAGCTTTGCGGTATATTTTTACATGTAAAGTTCGAAGAAAAATTCAAAAATTTTTCCGGTGTCTGAGTTCTAAATTTAATAGCTATAAGTGCTTTCAACATAAAACTCGAAAGGTCATGTAATATTGCAACGCTTAAAAATGTGTTGAAAAACTTTTGCTGTTAGAATAGCAACGACGACGAACTAACACTAATTCTGATTGGTTAAGACAAAGCTTGATACGTAAATCTCATTGGCTGAAATCCATGGAAAAAATTGTGGAATTTCAACATTTCTTTGCAAAAACATTTTCTCTCGATAATATTTGATGGAAATTAATTTTGAACAAACAGTAATAAATTTCAAAAAAAGGAAAAGCGTGTCAAACACTGAAAATTACCATGTGAACATATGCCACGTGATCATATGCCACGTGATCAAGGGTCCAAGACCTGCACTATTTAGGGCGAGACGGTTTTCATAAAATGCTGATAACAGGCTTCGTACAAAACTTAAAAGTCCTTGAATGTACTAGAATTTGAAAACAAAAATTCATGAAGCCCTGGAATGTCCTTGAATTTGTAAAAAAGTACTTGAAAGTCCTTACATTTTTCTTGCTTTAGTTTTTGAATATTTTCTGTTTGACATTCAAGAACGGGCTTTTGTTGAATTCATTTTGCATGTTCATTTCTGACAAAGCTGTTTGAAACTCATTAAAGTTGCGTTTTGAACAATTCAGCGTCAGATTTTATTGATTTCTAACGCCTTCTCCAGTATTTAGTCTTTGAATTTGCTGATACATGGCCTTTGAATGTCCATAAAAAAGTCCTTGAATTTGACTCTTCCTAGCTCGCATATACGAACCCTGTGACAACCAAAAACCGGTCGGAAAAAAAACAAAGAACCGAAACATGCACGACGCTACTCAAAACTCACTTATTTTTTCAACCGTTGTGAAAATTCTTGAAACGCTATGAAATTGCGGAGATAGACCTTGCAATTAATCAAAGTAAAGAATATTTATAAATAGTAAACTTTAATCAGGGTTATCAACTGACAATGTTAGAAATACTGAAAATATCACGACCCGACGAATAGCGTTATCCGACTTCCGTATAACGGGGTCGCATTTATTGGTTAACCGTTTCGCTTAAATAGCACTATACCGGTAAAAGGATTAGAGTCGTTACAAATCACTCAGTGTTAGAATCAAATCTCAGAACGACGAGTCTCAAATGACATCAGGATTTTCTAGGAGTTTGCCCCATGACCCCCTATGGTTTTCACGTGGTTGTAGACGAGCACAATACCGGCGAAAAGAGTATGTCCAAATAATATCTGCATAGAACCAAAGGCATCAGCCCAGGGGGGACGGGGGGACACACCCACCTACTTTTTGGACATTTGTAATATCCACCGGGTGTCCCCTTGTAATATCTACTGGACACTATTTAATTTCATGTAATATAAAAGCTATCGCAATGAAATAAAGATCATTGCATTCAGAAAGGACTAACTTAGATTTTGATATGTAACATTTGCTGTGTTGGTGTAATGTACTCAGGTGAATGAGATGCTTGTGATGTTATTCTGAGTGTATATCCACACCGGGCAGGCTTGAAAAATATGCCTGGCCGCGGTGCTCAGTTGGCAGAGCATTGGACTAGTATTCCCAAGGTCGTACGTTCGATTCCCACCTTGGCCAGGCATATTTTTCAAACCTGCCCGGTGTGGATATACACTCAGAGTAGCATCACAAGCATCTACATCGGTAATTATAAGGTTGTTTTATGCTAATTTTTCAAAAACAGTAGTTCAACGTTCAAACATCATTAGCGGCGTCGGTATTGCATGTAAATTCAAGTGTTATATATCAAAATAAGTTAGTCCTTTCTGAATGCAATGATCTTTATTCCATTGCGATAGCTTTTATACCTTTTACGTTACATGATATCAAACAGTGTCCAGCTTTTTTGGGGGACACCCGGTATAGTAAATTACGTCTGCGAGCCGGCTCTCCCACGATTTAGAATGAATGGCTTGTCACCCTTTGTATACAGCGATGCCTTTAACTATTTCTGTACTGGAATGTAAAGTCTAGTTTACGCTATCAAAGTTTCTGTGATCACAGTAGGAATTTTGCATCGGTAAATTGTAAGTTTCGAAGAATCTATAAGAAATGTTTGAGCGAAATAACTCGATGTTTAACGCCGAGTCAGATCCCTCAAACATTTCCTTGAAAAATTGGAATTTAGCCATGCAAAATTCCTACTGTGATCACAGAAACTTTGATAGCGTAAAACCAGACTTAGTAGACCATCTGAGGATGTTGCTTTTTAATCATCAAACTTCGATAATTTACAGACATACTCTGGTCTTTTCTGTGTGGCCGTGAACCCGTACCGTCGTCTACCTATCTACACCCAGAAAGTGGTTCAGATGTTCAAGGGGAAAAAGCGAAGTGAAATGCCACCTCACGTCTTCTCCATCTGTGACAACGCCTACCATGACATGTTGCAAGATCGTGAGAATCAATCCATGTTGATCACGTAAGAATTGACTTTTTTGACCATAGGCATAGCGACATCTTATTGAAGTTGCAATGCATTAAGGTCTATGTAGGGTTATGGAGCGTTTCCTCCGCGGAAAAATGAAGTCATTAAAGTAAACTGCTAAGCATTTTAATTCGTTGAAAACACTCTCTCCGAGCTTCAGTTGCATTAGAGATGAGTGCTTCCAATTTGACTTTCCCAAACATCGCAAGTTTTCTCCGAGAACTCCGGTTTTCCTCCTGTAGTAACACTGGAGCGAATCACAATCAAACAACGAATTCGAGTCGTTCGTGAGCGAGCAGCCAACAGGCGAAGCCAAGCGGTTTGTAAGACATAAAAATAGTTGAAAATGATGGAAAAAAACAACGAACTAAGGAACTTTACAGTTTTTTTAATTAGAATGGTATACTGGAATGCCAGTAACTTATTACTGAACACGTCTTTATGAGCAAATGACAAGACGTTTGTCGAGAGGAACAATCCATTGAATATTTTTCAATTGTATGTTTACAGAGGCGAAAGTGGTGCCGGCAAAACCGAAAACACGAAGAAAGTTATCCAGTACTTTGCCAACGTTTCTATGGGAGGTTCCAAGAAAGATGGCGATAAAAATGCAAACGTAAGCATTTAAATTAACATAAACATATAGCTCATTAGGTCTACGACTATTGTTCTGATAATAGAATGTAAGTATAGAATGGAACAAAGGTATCTAAGCATTTAATTAAACTATATATGTGAGTGAATTGGGTGGGATAACTCGCATGCCTATCGTTACCACTTTTCTGATAATGTATTGTAAGAATAAAACGAAACAAAGGTAACCAAGCATTTAATGATATATGCGAGTGGATTGGATAGCAACGGACACAAACGCGCGTTGGAGAGATGGGAAATGTGATGACAGGAAGAAGGGAAGAAAGGGAAAAGGATGACAAAAAATGTAACCCTTTCTATTTGGTATTATCTTCAGATGCCATCGATTGAAGATCAAATTGTCATGTGTAACCCAATCTTGGAAGCTTACGGAAACGCCAAAACCATCAGAAATAACAACTCTTCACGTTTTGTAAGTCGAACTTAAATGACCATTTGCAAATCTTTAAAAATTGTCCAGAAACACGATCCTCAAACTTATAAGGTTATTGAATTTTGTGTTTGATATAGGGAAAGTTTATCAGATGTCATTTCAACACACAAGGAAAGCTCGCCGGCGCTGACATTGAAACATGTACGTATAGAGTTGTCTCGGCCAGGAGGTTATGTTTGTATTTTGTTCTTGGGAAATCAAGGCCTACTTTTGTCTGCGCCAGAAATGGTGAAATGCTCAGAATTTTTAGGGCGTTCTACATCAAAAAGCAGAAACGTTGCTATTCCAAAAATATCGAATGTATTGCCATGAAATTCCATACGATAACAGAACGAGACCAGAGCTATTTGCGTTCCATGTTTGGTGAACGTACGTTAAATAAATGCCGACTCAACATATATTCGTGTTTTCCATTTCAGATCTGCTAGAAAAGTCTCGAGTTATCGGCCAGGGATCAGACGAACGTTCATATCACATTTTCTACCAAATCTTGAAGGCCGCCCCAGCCGATTTGCATCGTAAGTTAAAGTTTTTATATCGTTTCACGCAAGATGGGCGGTTTAATAGCTGTGCGTGAATTCGTTCGGTTTCGTATGCATGCCGTGTGATTGACTAGCATGGTTTCGAGTTTGGGTCAAAATTTCGAGTCAAAATGTCAAAATCGTCTAAGTCAGCCTAGCTCCATATGTACAGCCCCTAAGTCAAATTTTGATGTAGCTCAATTATTTCTCATAATTCCATCCTATTTTCCTAGAAACTCTCCTCATAGACAGCCGTAAACATGACGACTACAAGTACCTCGCAAAAAGTGTTGACTTCGCAAACGGCATCGATGACAATGAATTATGGGAAGAGACTGAGGAAGCAGCAAGGGTACTGGGTTTCACTGATGAACAGAGAATTTCTATGTACAAAACATGTGCTGGTATTCTTCATTGGGGAAATGGCCAGTTCAAGCAGAGACCAAGAGAAGAGCAGGCTGAGGTTGCTGACTCTGCCGGTAAGTACGCAATATTTGACAAAAATCAGCTAGCTTGTTTCATAGGTTCAGAAAGTTCGTTTGAAATTAAGATATTTTATTTTGGTTTTTAGCATTGGAGAAAACATCTTTCCTCTTTGGAGTGCAGTATTCCGACTTCACCAAAATGTTGGTGAAACCAAGAATCAAAGTTGGTAACGAATATGTGAACCAGGGACGTAACATGCAACAGGTGGGTTAATTTGATGGTGGTGGAAGTGGTGGAAATTATGATGGTGATTGTGGTAGTAGTGATGATGATGATGATGGTGATAATGAGGGTTGTAATGATGATCGTACGTGGTGATGATGATGGTGGCGATAATGATGACGGTGGTGGTGATGGTAATATGGTGGTGGTGATGGTGATTATGATGGTGGTGGTGATGGTGATTATGAGGATGGTGATGATGGTGATTATGATGGTGGTGGTGATGGTGATGGTGATTATGAGGATGGTGATTATGATGGTGATGGTGATTATGATGATGGTGGTGATGATGATGATGATGGTGATTATGATGGTGATGGTAATTATGATGGTGGTGGTGATTATGATGGTGGTGATGATGGTGATTATGATGGTGATTATGATGGTGGTGGTGATTATGATGGTAATGGTGATTATGATGATGATGGTGATTATGATGGTCATTGGTGGTGGTGATGGTGATTATGATGCTGATTATGATGGTGGTAGTGATGGTGATTATGATGGTGATGGTGATTATGATGGTGATGGTGATTATGATGGTGGTGGTGATGGTGATTATGATGGTGGTGGTGATAATGGTGATATATCATGATGGTAACATTTTTCTTTGTTTTTTCCTTACCCAAGGTGCAATATTCCATTGGTGCTCTGTGCAAATCCATGTACGAGCGTATGTTCTTCTTCCTTGTGGCCAGAATCAACGAAACTTTGGACAGAAAGGTGTGAGATTGGGAAGACTTATTTATTATTGACTCCTGTGTTTGAAGAATTATTGTATTGCAGGATATGAGTTTAATAAGGGACTAATTCATTCTACCGATTTATCACAGGAAAAACGTAATTACTTCATCGGTGTGTTGGACATCGCAGGATTCGAAATCTTTGACGTAAGTATCTTCATATTTACGCTAGGTAGGGTGAATGCCACAAACAACAGCCTCGAATTTAGGAAAAGGCAAGGCGACTTTGGCCTATTGTAAGAACAGTTTAATTTATAGCTGATAAAACTGTATATGTATAGTACGAGTTAAAAAGATTAGTTAACTTAAAAATTCGCTAGGATGCTTCGTAATGAATACTCCTTAATGACTATTTAAACGTTTCTTTATGTTCTACTTTAGTACAACTCCTTTGAACAATTGTGTATCAACTTGACAAACGAAAAACTGCAGCAATTCTTCAATCACAACATGTTCGTCCTGGAACAAGAAGAATACCAGAAGGAAGGAATCGAGTGGGATTTCATTGATTTTGGTATGGATCTGGAACCTTGTGTCAACCTTATTGAGAAGGTGAGGTCGTAGTTTTGAATGTTGCGTCCAGTGTAGGTAGTATTCTGCAATAGGGCCGAGTTCAACCCGGAGTTGAAATTTCAACCCTGCTAGCTGAAGCCAAGGCCAAGTATTTTCCGGGTCTTTCCACTGATTGGTCTATTGCTAACAATATTTCTTTCGTATCTAGCCAATGGGTATCTTCTCCATCCTGGAAGAGGAATGCATGTTCCCGAAAGCTTCAGACCAAACGTTCTTGACCAAGCTTCATGCAACACACGACGGAAAGCATCCGAACTACGCTAAACCCAAAGGCAGCAAGGCTACCTACGACTTCGAACTGGGTCATTATGCTGGAAATGTTGGTTACTCCATTGCGAATTGGCTGGACAAAAACAAGGATCCTATCAACGAAGCTGTTGCAGCTTTGCTGGGAAAATCAAGTGATCCATTCGTCGCTGATATGTTCAAAGACTATGGTGGTGAAGGTAAGTTATTTAGGTTTTTTATGATGGTGGTGATGATGGTGGTGGTGATGGTGATGATGGTGGTGGTGGTGATAATGGTGGTGGTGGTGGTGGTGGTGGTGGTTGTGGTGATAATAGTGGTGATAATGGTGGTGGTGATTATGGTGGTGGTGAAGAAATTAATCGTATTTGTGATGCTGTTGGAGGTTGGCTGATGTTTTGTTAATGTGAGTCTTTTACATTTAAGATGGTAGTAAAGTTGGTGATGATTGTAGTGTGATAATGATGGTTGTAGTGTGATAATGATGGTTGTAGTGTGATGATGATGGTTGTAGTGTGATGATGATGGTTGTAGTGTGATAATGATGGATGTAGTGTGATGATGATGGTTGTAGTGTGATAATGATGGCTGTAGTGTGATAATGATGGTTGTTGTGTGATGATGATGGTTGTAGTGTGATAATGATGGTTGTAGTGTGATAATGATGGTTGTAGTGTGATGATGATGGTTGTGGTGTGATAATGATGGTTGTAATGTGATAATGATGGTTGTAGTGTGAATGATGGTTATAGTGTGATGATGATGGTGGTGATGGTGATGGTGATGATAATATTCATGGTGATGGTGATGGTGATGATGATGGTGATGACGGTGTTGTTATAATGATGATGTTGGTGGTTGTTGTATGATGTTGATGGTGGTAAATGGCGGTAATGGCGATGGTGGCGGTAGTGGTAATGGTGGATACTATAACTTCCAACCAAAAACCAAGCAACACTGATCCTAAAAAAAACAAAATTTTCCTCTTTCAGCAACCAAAGGAAAGAAAGGCGGAAAGAAAGGCGGAAGTTTCCAAACAGTGAGCAACAAGCACAAAGAACAATTGAATAAACTTATGACTATGCTGTACTCTACAACACCTCACTTTGTACGTTGTATTATTCCGAATGAAATGAAAAAACCAGGACAAGCCGATGCAAACCTCATTCTGCATCAGTTGAGGTGTAATGGTGTACTGGAAGGTATTCGTATCTGCAGGAAAGGTTTCCCTAACAGGATGCCGTTCGATGAATTTAAACAACGGTGAGTAATTAGGCAAAAAAAAATTACGTGGGTTCACGGTCATGTGTCGCTGATCGAAATAAGAATCTTCTTGAGAGGTATGGCAGAGCTAGACCTTTTAAACATTTGGATGTCATGACTATGTCTTTATAACGCAGCATATCACAAACATGTAACCAGTTAAGTTGACTTAACGCAGGTGTTATATGGTTATGGCTGTCAAGTATTCACGCTGTAACACTTGCACATTTTTTACTCAAGTTTTGATGATTGTAATAGAGACCTTTCGATTTTGGGACGGCAACGCGACGACGACAGCCAAAACAAACTCCTTCAAATAATTGTATGAATCAATTGTATGGATTTAATGCTGTCTTAGAAGTTGAAGACATGGGTTTTATGTTGGGAAGAGTTCTATTGAACCCAGTTTGAAGTTGCACTCAGCCGTTGTATCAAGACGTGAAAATCTGTGATTTGGCGTTGTAAACAGAGCGAAGAACAATGTCCAAATTATTCATATATTGTAATTACTCAATTCTTTTCAATGATTTATTGTATTGGTAGCCGTTGCCGTCGCGTTGCCGTCCTAAATTGTAAGGTCTCTATTAAATCGTGATGAAGACTGTATACCCGGGATACGTTTATCTTTTTGTAATGCATGAAAGATTGAATTTTATTTTACTTCACTACACTCTGAGGGAGCAGGCGAAACTATGTTACGCAACTTTTTATTAAAATTTCTTTGCTGTGTTTCATTAGATACCAGATCCTCGCGCCAAATGCAATCCCAGCAGGATTCATGGATGGTAAGAAGGCTGCTGAAAAGTTGATCGAAGCTCTTCAGCTCGAAGAAAATGAATATCGAGTCGGAACCACGAAGGTAAATGATTTCAAGTATTATCTCCCGGTCAAAGAAGGATGGATGTTGACGAGAAGTCTCGCGCGTGTTTGACCGCAAACTCTCATCAACTTTGAGCTTGTTCAAATTTTGAGAGTTGATGAGAGTTTTTTCGCTACGCGCGCGTTAATATCCACTCAATTTTCATCAACTCTTGTGCAACTCTTGCTCTCGTTTGATCGTAACATTTGCGTTGAGAAAACTTTCATGCAAACTCTCGCTTCTCAACTCTTGTGAACTTTCATCCTCGTTCGACCAGAGCTTATGGCCCCGTTTACATGAGACAGGAACGAAGTCAAACCGGGACCATTTCGTTTCGGTCATAGTATTATCTATAATAGATGTTTACATGAGACTGGGACGAAAATAACCTAGTCTCAAGTCATTCCGCCTGCTGGACCGAGCCGACTGACTTCAGACCGGCATGAATTCAGACTGGGACGAATGTAAACACAAATACATTTCAGACCGGTCTCGGCTGTAACCTTGACATTGGAACAACCCATGCTAACAAAAGCCCTGTCTTTCATTATGGAATTCCCATATATCTGTGTAAAGACATTGAACGAATTCAGCGACGAGCCATGAAAATCATATTTCCCACCAAATCATATGCCGAAGCGCTCTCCCATTCTAAGCTTCTAACTCTTGAAGAGAGACGTCAAATTGCGTGCGACAAACTCTTCAAAGAAATAATGGAAGATAAAAATCACAAATTGCACCCACTCCTACCAGACCCGAATACATGACGTAGCGTATTCCCTGAGAACTTCGACGAGAACTTTTAAAATTCCTAAATGTAAGACTGAACGATTTAAAAAGTCTTTTATAATTGCTGCTAGTTCTAATAATGAAAGCAGCAGTCACTGAGGATTTTATATATTTCGAAAATAACTGTTAATTTTAACTGTAACTATTCTTAAATACATTTTAATGTTAAAATAATCTATTAAAATAGATAGTATTATTAATTGAAATAGACAGTCCCATTAACATAAAGTTACAATTATTTTTATTATGTTTAGTATCTTTAATCAGTAATAGATAGTATAATTAACTTAAACTTTTCTTTTGTAAAATTTAACCGTTGTAATTCAGCCTCTTGGCTGCAAGATCGGTTTTTGAATAAATTGTAATTGTAATTGTAAGCCATCTAAAAAAGAAAATTGTCTGGCAAGGCGAATAAATTGAAAATGTTGTGATTTTCGTACTGGTCTCATGTAAACATGTTGACAATTTCAATTTTCATTCCGGTTTGACTTCGTCCTGGTCTCGTGTAAACGGGGCCTAAGATCTAAGCGATAATAATTGTCTTTAACTTTTCACCTCATTTCGATATCGTACTGAATGAGACAACTATTCATTCTATCTTTCCAGGTTTTCTTCAGAGCTGGTGTCTTGGGTACCTTGGAAGACATGCGTGACGAACAACTATCCAAGATCATATCTCAATTCCAGGCCTTCGCCAAAGGTTTCCTCATGCGAAGACGTTACCGCAAAATGTGTGATCAGAGGTAGAAATCTTGTCTCCATTTAATGTCGATTTCAAGTCCCTTTTCAACGCGCGCTTCCCAAGTTCGTTGCGAACTTGCCAATTACGTTTCCAAGTTCGGAAATTGGGCGCGAACTTCGCAACAAAGTTCGCAAGTACATTTCAATGTTTGAACTTCGTTTGTAAACAAATGTTCATACTCAATAGTAATAACCAATTCAATGAAATACAAACCTTCTTGGTAGACCACTGGACCAAGAACTTTCCATTGAATTGTTAATTTCAACTTGGACTATGAACATTTGTTTACCGTAGAAGTTCAAACATTAAAATATAGTTTAGTTTAAAAGCCTTCTTTTGATGTCTTGAAAATTAATTTCCTAATTCTCTTTGCAGAATTGGTGTCGCTGTCATACAGAGGAATGTGAGAAAGTATTTGTTCTTGAAGAACTGGGCTTGGTGGAAACTGTATACCAAGGTGAAACCATTGCTGAACGTCGCCAGAACTGAAGAAGAAATGAAACAGAAGGAAGAAGAGGTACGTTTTAAGGAGCAATCTGCAGTACGTAGAACAACCATGGACGTAGCGACGACCTAGTCGTTGGCGGGGGAGGGGGGGGGGAGGGAGGGGGGTGGAGTGTAACGGTTCATTACCCGATTGTTTTTTTTTCATGAGTTGGAGGAATTAGGGGGAATGCTCACCCGAGAACATTTTGAATATTTAGACGCTCAGAAAGCCCGAAACTAAACTTTGGCATTCTTAGCTTGCTTTCCTTTTAACATCCACGTTTGCCAGTCATTGCTTTTACTTGAAATCAGAAAGAATCACCGGGAAATTTACCTGAAATTACTGATGCACAAATATTGGGGGGGGGGGTTATACCCCCCCCCCCTACACTCCCTCCTCCCCGGTCGCTGCTCTCCTGATAACAACAGAATAATAGTAAGAACGATTAGTTCGTAATCGATACCGACTTACCGTAGTAACAAATGTTACGGTGTTCTTTTCGGTAAGGACATCGCCTAGTTTTGTTATTTTTTATAACACTGGTTTCCAATTCCCTCTCAACGACTTGGCAATGGTCATCAACAAATATCTTTTTCATAACTATGTAGTTTCTTTAATTAATAATAGCAATATTTGTTACATCACATGTAGTTGGCGCAACTTAAAGAAGATTTAGCGAAGGAAAAAGAACTGAGACAATCACTTGAGAATGAGAAAACTGATTTGGTGACAGAAAAACAACAACTGTACGACGACTTGCAGAAAGTAAGTTGATTTCTTTGTCTATACTTCAAAGCGCAGATTTTTCCCGGTTTCCTACTGTGGTAACAGTTTTAAAGAAAGTTAGTTCCTTTAGTAGTAACAGCATATAGTTCAACAAGAGGTGACTCTTACTGGAATTGTAGAGAGAACAGTTTAGAATTCAGAATTTAAAGAGCTACCCAGTATAAATAAATTTGATGCAGAAGTGTTACTACAGGAAGAAACTTAAACTGAACAGTTCAGGTTTTCTTCTGTAGTATCATTGGATCAATATGGGCTGGAGGTCAATGAAAGTTTAGATTCAACAGATAGAGGTATCCAGTATAAAATATGCTAAGTGATCGATTTTCTTTTCAGGAATCCGAATCTCTGGAAAACACGGTCGAAGATCTTCAGAAGGCCCGAGGTAGATTGGAAGACATGGAAGGTCAACTCACTGAACTGAATGAGCGACTCGAGGATGAAGAGGACAATAACGCTGAAGTAAACGCTGTTAAACACAAACTTGAAGATGAAATCGAAGACTTGAAACAGGAAGTCACCGAGCTCGGCACAGCTTTGGATAAGGTGAAGTGTAGACTAAGTTGTGTTCACAATATTCGCGCAATATAACAATTGGTTTAGATGAAGGAATTAAAACGTCGTCTACCGCGATGTATTCGCAAAACGACATGTTTCTTGAATTTCCATGAAATATTTTAGGCTGAACAAGAAAAAGCAGCTCGACAACAGGATATCGAACGTCTCAACGATGAAATTGCCAAACAAGACTCTGCTCTTGAAAAACTAAACAAAGAAAAACGAAATCTCGAGGACGAACGAGCCGTAAGTATTGTGATTGAATAAAATGGTCAGTGCGTTCTGTTTGATGAACCATCACATACATCGTACATCTTGGCAATTTGTTCAAATGTACCTCTTTTTGTCTTTAGGAACTCGAAGACCATTTGCACGAGGAAGAAAACAAAGTAAACGTATTGAACAAAGCCAAGGCGAAACTGGAACGGGATCTTGATGAGGTGAGGGCAAAAAAATGGATTTTTAAAAATAAGTAGTAGCTTATATTACACCTTGAATAGACGAAATATAGGACTTCTAGGTTTACGAAACAAGATCAACTGATATATTCAAAAGGTTAGGATGGGAGCCAATATCAAATTTACTTAGCATTTAAGTCTTTGAAAGGAGTGACCCCTGCTTATCTAAAACGATAATGGCACATACGCATTAAGAAGCAGCAATCGTACATTAGTCCTTTCTGAAGAACAGCTTTTCCCAAAGAGGAGCCGTGTCCTGTAATAACTTACCTCACGACATTATCAATAATTATGAAGAGTTTTTCTCTTCATTCATTTAACACACACAAGTTTTTATTATTAAAACCAAAATTCTGTAAATAGTTGTTCTACTTTAATATTCACCGTAGATATATAGGCTAATATTGTAAATAATTATTGTGTTAGTATATAGTTAGCATGTAATATTTTTGCAAGCACGGCCCTTTGAAAAACAGATCACTGAAATGCCACCGTGGTTAAATAAGTTTAATTAATAAAATTATAATGATAAAACTTTTATATGGGCAGTTTGTATCGTGTGCGTAATAAATCTATCTTTATTTTAGCAAATCGAAGTCTACGAAAAGGAAAAGAAAGTTCGCGGAGAGGTGGAAAAACAAAAGAGAAAAGTCGAAGGAGATCTTAAGGTATCATTTTTTATCTTTAAGAATAGTTCATGATGGAGTATCAGTTTTTGGAAACAGCTACAGGTCGTTTGCTTTTTGAAAAGTGATTGAAAAAATGTGTTCTTTTCCACAGATGAGCAGAGACGAACTGCAAGAAATGACGTCGAAGCGAGATGAACTTGAAAGTGTTGTGAAGAAGTAAGAGTTTATGCTGTATGGTGGTGGTAATGATGAGTAATTGTGGTGGTAATGATGAGTAATGGTGGTGGTAATGAGGAATGATGGTGGTAATGAGGAGTAATGGTGGTGGTAATGAGGAATGATGGTGGTAATGATGAGTAATGGTGGTGGTAATGAGGAATGGTGGTGGTAATGAGGAGTAATGGTTGTGGTAATGGTTAGTAATGGTGGTAATGAAGAGTAATAGTGGTGGTAATGAGGAGTTTTGGTTGTGGTAATGAGGAGTAATGGTGGTGGTAATGATGAGCAACGGTGGTGGTTATGATGGTCCCGATGCATATGCATATTAAGTTTTTATTATCTTCCATCCACAGGCGAGATGCTGAAATAAGCGAACTAAACAACGCCGTGGAAGACAACAATGCACTCATCGCGCAACTTCAGAAGAGAATCAAAGAACTAGAGGTAGGATATTATCATTGGCTACTGGAATTAATTGCTACATGTTTACAAGTGCATACCTTGCATATATTACTGTGAATTTCCCGTCATCTTCTGTATTAAAACAATGTTTGTTTATCCTCCAGGCTAAGGTGTCGGAATTGGAAGATGAACTTGAAAACGAAAGAGCTCTCCGAGCCAAGGTAGGTTTCCTAACCAGATACAGCATTATTTTACTTCGGCAAACTATTAGGTACAGGAGTCATAAAATGGCCGTGTTATGTTTTAGATTTATGTGATATTAATTGTCAATTAATTATTATGTATATTAAAATCTTGAAATTAATCGAAGTATTTCTTCTTGACAGGCCGAACGCGCCCGTAATGATCTGGAACGTGAACTGGAGGATCTTCAAGATGCATTGGACGAACAAGGCGGAGCCACACAGGCACAGGTACTGGAACCATACCTAGTGACGTCATATGTAGTGACGTCATGATAAGTAAATGTTACGTTACCGTAAGATCGCCTTTGGTTGGTTCGCCAGTTCAAGGTTGCATGCTACCCTGGGGTCATTAGCGTATTGAAAAATCATTTCTTGCCCTGCGTTTTTTGACGTTGAACATTACAAATACGATGCTGTTTTCTACATTTCTTCTGCGAGTTGAAATTAATTTTGTTGATGTTCCTCGGGTCCTGAACTTGCGTTTCCAAGTGTTCCTCAAAAGTAGAAAATAAAGTAAACTGAAGTGTATTAAAAATGTTCCTCAATTATGTTACTAAGGCAAATTTTTCTCAGAATTCAAGATCCATTTTTCTATCAGTTGCTTGGAAAAACCTTAAACGTAAACTTAACGGACGAAATTAAAGTCCAATATGGATATATTGTCTCATTTCCCAACGATTATCGACTACTTTTTCACGTTAACTGCCTGTGATGTACCGTGTTTCTTAATTTCGACTCACTTTCGTCCTTTTCGTCCTTTCGTCCAGGCCGACTTGAACAAGAAACGTGAAGCGGAGATCAGCAAATTACGTCGTGATGTCGAAGAAGCCAACGTACAGAATGAACAAGCGATCAGCAGTATGCGTAGCAAACATCAACAAGCTTTGGCTGAGGTGCAGGAAGAATTGGAGACATTCAAGAAATCCAAAGCAAAGTGAGTGGTCAATGTAGCTGTGTGTAGGTTCTCTGGTACAACACAGCTTCCTGCTTCTAGCGTGGTGGTGATACTGTGAATAGTGCATGTGAACCAGAGTTCCGTTTCTACAATATGCAGTTGTGTGACTATAATTTTACCTCAGTCGCATGTGAGAAGAGTGCTTCCAGTTCGACTCTACCACACACTCCCGGATTTCTCTGGGTACTACGGTTTCCCCCTGTAGTAATACTGGATAAAAAAAACGATGGACGCTTGCTAGATCGCTAGGACAGTTTAACTTTAGAACTGATAGAGCTAGGCGGTACAAATAAAGTTGATAAATCTATCAATATATTTTCAACAGATTGGAGAAAGAGAAAAATGCGCTCACCGCAGAAGCAGATGAACTTGCTGAGAATAACGAGAAGCTGCAGAAAGCGAAGGCCAGTCTAGAAAAGAACAATCGCTCGATGGATGCTGAATTATCGGAAAGTCGAAGTGCGGTAAGTACTGTATATACTGTAGCTTCTCGTATAAAGAAGAAAAACGCAAGCCAAACTCGAGCCCTATCGATTTTCTCATGAAGTGAGTGCCTACTAATTTTTCAATTTTCTATTTTGTAGTTGGAAGAACTCCGTGGAGCGAATGCTGAACTTACGTCAGCCAGGCAAGCTCTGTCCAATGAGAACGCCTCGTTGAGTTCCCAACTTAATGAAGTAGAAGGACGTGCTTCCACGCTGGCGAAAAATAAGAAATCCTTGGAACAACAGCTTGATGAAGTGAAAAACGCCTTGGAGGAGGAAGGCAGGGTATGTATTTAGGGTAAACATGGATTGTAAGAGATTGGAAACGTAGTATCACGTGGGTCTTTCCCAGTTGACGAATGTTTTCGAAATGTTTTCGAAATATTTCCTTCAAAATTTTCCATGCTCCGGAAGCATGATAATATCGAAAAATTATCGATATTATCATTATGCTCGAGTGTATTTCACCAAAAAAATAGATAGATTTCAATTTTGTCTAAATGTATTATAAGTACTTCCAATAAAGATAGATCCCAAAGCGTTCCTGAAACTCCTGAAAGAAGAATAATTACGGTGTTTTCCACGAAAACAATCAATGATATTAATAATCAATGATATTGTTTCCATGAAGTCTAGAAAAGACTTGCAGTTTGATACATGCACCATATAAAAAAACAACCATCCTAAACTGTAGCTTTCTGTTTCCAAAAGGCCAAGAACGAATTCTTCGACAAGATGAGACACTTCGAAGCGGATTTAGAACTTGCAAGACAGGATAATGAAGACCTAGAAGAAGCCAAGGAGAACTTAGAAAAAGAATTAGCGAAAGCGAAGAACGACATTTCAATGTGGAAGAAGAAGTTCGAAGAGGAAGGACAAGCTAAGGCCGAGGAACTCGAAGTCGCCAGGTATGTCACTCTCATCAACTCTCATGCAAACTCTCGCTTCTCAACTCTCATGCAAACTCTCGCTTCTCAACTCTCATCAACTCTCATGCAAATTCTTGCTTCTCAACTCTCATCTACTCTCATGCAAACTCTCGCTTCTCAACTCTCATTAACTCTCATGCAAACTCTCGCTTCTCAACTCTCATGCAAACTCTCGCTTCTCGACTCTCATCAACTCCAATTCTTGTTTGAGCAGGGCTAATACCACGCCCTTATTCTTTACATTTCTCCACATTTCAGACGAAAAATCGCTGCCAAACTTGCGGAAACCGAAGAAGAACTCGCAGCTGCCCTATCAAAGGCTAACTCTGCCGAGAAAGCTAAACAACGCTTGGCCGGTGAAGTCGAAGATCTCAATGTTGAACTTGATAAGGTGCGTGATATGGACCTCTTAAACTATAATGACGCCATCTTAAAATCGCAATGCACTATAGTCTATCTACGGAAATTGAATCTTTTAAAGTTTTGTATACGTAATTCCAATAGTTGAATAATTCTCTGTGTTTTTTCAGGCTCAAAATCTCGCCGCCTCGTATGAGAAAAAACAAAAGAAGATCGACCAGGAGATTGCGCAATGGAAGGCTAAAGTTGACGAAGTCCAAGCTGAGCTCGAAGCCTCGCAACGCGAATCACGTGCAAACTCGACTGAGGTAAGGGTACTGGTCTCTATATAGGTTTCTGAAGTAACATCTGGTACTGAACGGTTTCCGTTTCCAGGTGTACAAACTCCGAGGCCAAATGGAAGAAGCGCAAGAAATGGCTGAGCAACTCCGACGTGAAAAGAAATCTTTGGAAGGTAAGAATTTTGGGAAGGACAGCAAAGAAAGAAAGAAAGCAAATAAAATTCTGCAGGAATAAATGGCACTCAGACTGACTTGGTATTTACTTACGAATTACGTTAAGAAAAGCGTTTAGTTGATTTTATATATTGTTGAACCCATTTAAAAATATCCTGATTTTCAGAATAATTTAACTTTGGTGTTCCACATAGAAATATGTTTACTTTTAGCGATTCTGACAACAAGTCAGAATTGTTCAGCGTGAGAATTTAGATGAGAGTTTATTTCACTTTTAAAATTAAGGCTTGGTCTAACGAGACACGAGCTGCATGAGAATCTTTCAACTCTGGTAGCTTGTCAGAAAGGAAAAAAAAATAGTGGCATGACGGTTTACAACTTTCATTCAAAGAGAGATAGTGTTTGAATGAGAGGTCTGCCAACGAGATAGAGATTGCATGAAAGTTTTTTCAAATCATATGGTTGGTGAAACTTTTTCTCTCATTTGGCACTCACCTTCTTGTGTGTTTGCAGGCGAAGTAAAGGATCTTATCGACCAACTTGGTGAAGGAGGAAAGTCTGTCGTTGAATTTGAGAAAATGAAGAAGAAACTCGAGATGGAGAAAGAAGAACTTCAAATGAACATGGAGGTGATTATTTAATTAATTTAAAAATCATTTATGGTATACCATAGGGCTCATTCATAGGCCCAATTCTACGGTATTGAGTAAAAAAGACTCTTTTCACTTCACTTTCTTCTAAATATTGATATTTCCTGAACGGGCTGACACTTTAGAAAGATTATTGTGGCATTGAATTCCTAAAACATTAATTGAAAACCTGTTCTATATCTGTATTTAAAACTATTAAATCACCGATAGCGTTCAGTGTTGACATCAGTTATTAATTTTTTCAGGAATTGGAAGGCGCTCTCGAACAAGAAGAAGCTAAAGTTCTCAAAGTTCAACTTGAGATGACGCAGTTGAAACAAGAATATGAAAGACGCTTGCATGAGAAGGACGAAGACACAGAGAGTATGAGGTACTCCCCCGTCTTGTTCATGATCTCACTAGTCAAATCATTGAAAGGGTCCTCACCATAGGCTGCTGAGGAGATAGAGGCAGGAGACTCAGTTCCTTATATCTTTTTACCATTGTCTTGCAGGAAGAACTACAGTCGCCAACAAGAAAGCATCCAAGCCTCACTGGAAGCCGAGGCCAAAGCGAAGAACGAACAGGTAAAACAAGACCTTCGCGTGCATCTTTGAGGTTACTTCCACCATTAGAGTTGAGCCTCGGCGTATACGTAAACAAACAGCAGTCCCTTTCCTTTCTACAGTTTCCGAACTTAATTCATTCTTAACACGGATATGTTTTCGTGTTTTAGATCCGTTTGAAAAAGAAAGTTGAACAAGATGCAGCTGCTTTGGAGCTCGCTTTGGAAGGCGCAAACCGGGTGAGTTGTTGAGATAACATGGAATTCCTCATCGCTATTATAATGGTCTGACTGGGCTCTTTTCTTTTTTTCACAGGAGAACGCAGAAAATGCGAAGAACGTGAAGAAATTGCAACAACAACTCAAGGTAAGGATCATTCTAATGTACCGGTATATGATATGCTTCATCAGGACTGTCACAACTTCATCACGTGCATGTTTAAATATATAAGTACAACTTAGACTTATTTCATTTTTTTCTCCCCAAGGAACTCCAAGTGATGGTAGAAGATGAACAGAAATCACGTGACGAGGCACGTGAAAGTCAAGCCAAGGCTGAACGTAATGCCAACAAGTTGTCTGCTGAACTGGAGGAAATACGAGCTCATCTGGAACAGGTATGTTTTTGGATAAGTCACTGATTATGTCCTGTTCGCCCCTCGGTTGTGTGTGAACAAGTTAAAACGTACGGACAAAGATTTACAAATCTATTGGGTGAAGAGGAGAATTTTTGTGTTGTGTTGACAAATTAAAAAAATTCTCCAAAAATACATGTCCGTATCAATTCTTTCTCTATGCCCAGAACAATATTGCTTAATTCTTGTGGTAGTTACATCATTGGAACTGTTCGAGAATTGGTCAATGACTTTCTCTGATGCATGTTTATTCAACGTTACCTCTATAAGGTAAAAAATTCGAATTGAAACAGCGTCGACCGTAAAAGATGACGTTCACAACATAAAGAAGAGAAACTCAATCCGTGATGAAAGACCATTAAGCGTCTCGTTTTGCCTCTGATACTGCATACACAGATACTAAATCTAACAGTACGAATAACATCACAAGGTTGCGATAAAACCCCCAGAAAACACAGTCATTTTAAGACTCCCTCCTCCCTTCGGCTATCCTGAGTATTAAATGATAATAAAATAACAATCTAACCATATTCCTTTTCCTAACAGTCCGAACGTAACCGCAGAAATGCCGAGAACGAAGGACAGGATGCAGTCGATCGTGTTTCAGAACTTCAAGCACAAATTTCATCGCTTCAATCTTCCAAACGCAAGGCCGAAGAAGATCTGCAATCGATCCGTGATTCTGTCGATGAACTTGAGAATGACGTCAAGACGGCCGAGGAGAAAGCACGCCGAGGTGCTGCCGACGTTGCACGACTTGAAGACGAACTTGCCCATGCCCAACATGCGGCGCAGGCTGCTGAGAGAGCTCGAGCCGCGGCTGATAAGCAAGCCAAGGATCTCCAAGCCAGACTTGAAGAGGTCGAAGCTGCTGGCGGCAAAGCATTGAAGAATAAGATCAAGACTTTGGAACAGGTTAGCTTTATAATCTTGGATTAAACATAAATCATTTGACAATTAGAGTGATAAAATAATGTGGCGTTAGACAGAGGGAAACAAACTAAACATCATTTATTTCACAGAAAGTCCGAGATCTGGAAGAGGACTTGGATGCCGAAGCTCGTGGCAAGGCTGAACAACAGAAATCGATCAAGAAGAATGACCGTAAGCTGAAGGAATTGTTGGCCCAAGCTGAGGAGGATCATAGAAACATCGAGAAGTTGCAAGATACTAACGAGAGACAGAACAAGAAGTTGACTCAACTACGCCGCAGAGCCGAGGAAGCGGTATGTTCCCAACAAAGCTAACTTTCTACTCAATAGATCTATCACTTTTAAAACGTTCTCCATAGAAGTTCAGTAAGGACGTATCTTCTATTGTCACTACAGGAGGAAACCTGGACTAAAATAACTTTATTTAGTTAGCTCTATCAGTTCTAAACTGTTCTTCCTAGATGTCCGGTAAGGATCATCTCTTATTGATCCAGTGTTACTACAGGAGGAAACTTAAACTAAATTAACTTCATTTATACTGGATAGCTCTATCAGTTCTAAGCTGTTCTTTAGAGGTCCAGTAAGGATCATGATCTCTTATTGATCCTATGTTACTACAGGAGGAAACTTAATCTAAACTAAGTTTATTTATGTTGGATAGCTCTATCAGCTCTAAACTGTTCTCCCAAGAGGTCCAGTAAGGACCATAGAAATGGAAGCACTCTTTTCACATGTGACTGAAGCGAATCAAATCTGGTCACCAAAGTGAAACAGACATAGACCAACCGCTATGCCAAACAAAAGACTTCTCTAAAAACCTATTGTAATGTTTCCTTTCTTGCAATTGTAGGAAGAGACCGCTGCTTCCAACATGACCAAGCTTCGCCGAGTGCAGTCTGACCTGGAACAGGCTGAGGAGAGGGCTGATGCCGCTGAACAAGCAGCCAGACGTCGCCCTGCTGCAAGTGCTGGTGGCCGCGCGTCTGCCGGGAGAGCTGGAGCTAGGACACCAGCAAGATCTTCGTCTCGCGAGGTGATTCTTGATGACGATGACGACGACGAGTAGATTTCCTAAATTTGAGCCCTGTTTAATCTGTCGTGAGATAATCCGGATTAATCTGAAAACTTAATATGAAAACTTCTAGTTCGACTTGTTAAACTTTATTTCCTTTTTCTTTGTGAAAAATACAATCCCAATTTAATGAAAAAGATCTAGTCTTGGATTTATACAAAGCTGAATATATTCTTTCTTATTTTTCCTTTTGACTGGGATTAAATCACGTCAGGTAACAAACAGGGTTCTTTTTCGTTTTTCGGTAAAATGGAAAGAAAAGACATTAGTTTATTTTTAAAATACCATGTATGGAGCTAATTAGAAATATGTTAAAACGTTTGCATAGATATAATTAAAAATTTGCACTTTAATGACTCAGTTTGCACTTTTTGAGTTTGCACATAAAATGTCAAGTTAGGCTATAAATAATCTGTTATTAAATCTTAATATTTTTAAGTATTCTCGGGTAATACTTGACATTAAATTTCTATTATTAATATTAACTAAAAAATTATAGTAAAATATTAAATTAGATCGATAATAATTAAGATAATTAATTGCAACTTCTTACTTTTAATTATTAAATGTTAATTTAGTTAGAATGCAGTTAATATTTAATTATATTACCTATTACTATTAGTTAGAATGACAATTAGTCATTCACGAATACAAAACAAAACTTGGATGGTATTATATACGCTAAAATACCCTTAGATTGCTGACATGGTCTTCAATATAATTCACTTGTAATTTATACCTGGTGAATTTATCGCATCATAATTAAAGCCCACTTGAAATTAATCATATTTGCTCGTAAAGCTATATTAACATAATTTATTGCAAAATTTGAACATTTTTTGTGAGCTATTAAAACGAAAGAAGAAAGACTACTTACAGATTTTAAACCGTCTCTTCACATCGAGTTTGGAGACATTTAAAGGATAGAATTGTCAGTTAGTGAGAAAATACTTTGATACAAAATTTAAAGACAAGCTTTGCATATTATGCAAATTTATTGAGAACTGAACGAATAATTTTACAAATAAGGACATTTATAATCAAATTCTAATTTGGGTGATTCCAATAATTTTATCGTCTTAAAATTTGGCATAGAAATAACCAGAACTGTGAGAGTTCATTTGCAAGTGACAATCGCTAGAAACAAAATAAAATTCAAAGTTTTGTGAAGCATTTTACCTTAAATATGCAAACACAGTACAGCATTAAATGCTAATATATGAAAATCAATTTAAACTTTAAATTCCTTCGTGGTTAGGGTTTAAATAAATCCAAAACATTTGTTCTAAATTAGCGCGGTTGAGCCTCGAATGACCAAATAAGGCTAAAGAGTAAAAAAAAACATCTTAAATTTAATATACGCGAAGATTGATACACAGCTAATCTTGCAACGACTTGTATCACATTTTCAAATAGTCCAAATAATTATGTTAATTTTTAAATCCTCTAATTTTGACCACAAATTATGTAAATCCTTGTTTACATATCAGGTTATAAATATTTTGAACTTTAGAATATTATATACTTGCGTTATAAACTCGAAATGTTTAACTAAAAAATCTTACTGATAACCCATATTTAAGAGCTTTATTTTGATAAAAGGTCTAATTTAAGGACGTGTGGTCGATAAGCAATGATAAGAATGTCATAGAATAACATTCCAAAACGGGCAATATCTAATAAATTCTCCATATAAAACCTAGTAATATTTATATATTTTGAGATATAAAGTACTGTAATCTTATTCTTATCGTTCATTTTATCGTGATATGTTTCATATCTTATCTGAAATAGCAAAATAATCTTTTATATCTGTATATATTATCTTAAATTCGGATCTAATGCAAATATTTGTTTTGTTGCAGAGTTCACGTCGCGGTTCTCAATCTGGCGGGGACTAAAGACCAAGATTTCACTTAAAAAAACTCAAAACAAGCTCGGAAATAATGAGATATTTGTAAGGACACATATATATATAGTTAGAGCCACTAGACTTGTACATCAAGTTTTAACTTTATAGCGTAATTTTATCATTATATAACCACTACTAGGAATTTTGTATGTCATTTAATTTTCAATTTTAATAAATTTCAGTTTTAAATTTTTGCGCTTTAAGTTTGTTTTCTATATTATAAGGATTGTAAGTCTAACTTGATTTCAGATTAACAAACCCCAGAGCATTCTGATTGGATTAAAAAAACGTAGGAAAATACATTGATTGTTTGGTTGGTTGCAAAAAAAGTTGAGAGGAACGCCAAAAAGATTTTCGGTTTAGAAGACTTTTCGTCGCAAATACTGACGCGACATGAGAAAAAATTGCCTCTTATTTTGACTTTAATTATTAAAATCTTTTATCCAACATCGTCCAACATCCATGAATGGTTTGAAGGGGCCGTAAAATACCTAACTTTGCGTCGCAAATATATAAAGGGCAGTGGGTCAAGTATAAACGAAATAAATGGACTTCGTTAATGTACTTGAGTTAGTTGAGTACTATTTAGTTGAATAACGTTTTACTTCGTTATTTTCATTTTGTGGCGAAGTATTTCGTTACTTTCTAACTTTTGTTTAATTAATTTAACGTGATTTATTCCCGACTTATTTTAATTTTGGGATAGGTAATAGGACATCTACATGCGTCTGGGATCTCTCGTTTGTGGCTTAGTTACTTATAAGCAATAAGTTTAATGGATTTCTTATATCTTCAACGAGGTCTGGACCATGCCGTGAAATATTGTATATCAGGTGCACGCATATAATGCGTGCGCTATTTTGTATCTTTTGTATGTCAATCCATTGGGGAAGTCCCCCCCCCCCCCTACACACTCTGTACTTTTTACTCAAGTACGTTTTTCCTCCAGTACTTTTTACTCTTACTCAAGTCGTTTTATTGTTAATTACTTCTACTTTACTCGAGTACAAATTCAAAGTAATTTAGGCACCACTGAATTAATAGGGTGACTTACAACAGAAATCTCTCGCTCTACTTCGGTCATCATCAAATGAAAAAGCCTTCAATTTGCATATCGTCACTGAATCATGTGAAACCAATGCGTGACTGGATGACATGGAGAACAATTTTATTTTCAAAACAATCAAACGACAATGAGAGATTCCAGTCAATGATCGTTGTCAATGATCGTTGTCGTTGATGTCAGCTATCATATCAGCGACAATTCGAGCCAATCTGAAATTGTCAGTGCCGAGGTATTTCATTGCAAGATGTAGCTGGCAACTACTAAATTATTGTGTTAACTCGTTTTTCAGCGCCCCTCTCCCTCGAAAAACCATATAATGGATTAATGAGTATTACAAATTATTAAGCCAAATGACGCTTATAATCTTGTGAGTTAGAATTAGGACTAATTCGGTGTTGGGCGGCCATCAATATGCATCTAAATGAAATGACTTTGAATATATTGATATTTGGGTACTTATTTTAGCTTATAGCCATAGGTATTACTGCCCCCCTTGTGAAAAATTCCTGTTACAAATGCATACTTACCTTTGTTCATGCTTACTCGCGTTCTTGCTTACCCGCGTTCTATGATTTCATAAACTCATAAACGAAAGTAACTTGGTACTTGCAAAGCCATCTCAAAAGAGTGTGTGTGTGTGGGGGAGGGAGCATCCGGGGGCATGCTGAGCTCCCGGTGAGAAATCCTGCATTCTGAGCCAATTTTTTACCTAACCTATAAGTTACAGCACACAAGTTTTGGAAAGGACGTTCCACAGTCCCTAGGCTTTTGAGTTCGCAACGTTATAAGTCTTACTGTATATAAACTTGGAACCAACGTTATAAGTCTTACTGTATATAAACTTGGAACCAGTTAGAGGAACCAGTAAGAGATAGCTATGGTCGTACTCCAGTTACATATTCAGCTCACTGACATAGGGGCCTTGGGGCATCACGGGACATTTATGAGCTAGCGTCAAATAAATCACGTGGCCTGGCTTCTTCAGAAATCGAAGGCCTTGCTTTTTGCAAAGACACGAGAACTTCGCAGAAATTTTATCAATTTTAACAAAAAATACTACCTTAAACCAACCTTTCTTGCCTTATTTCGTTTGTTTGACCTTCTTTCTACGACCATGAGCTACGACAGAGGACGCGGGCCGCCGAATATCGAAGGGATGACGAGTTTAAAAGTGGACAACTTAACTTACCGAACCACCGTGGACGATCTGAAGAAGGTCTTTCGTGCGTATGGAGATGTCGGAGATGTTTATATTCCACGCGATGCGAGGACAAATCAATCCAGGGGCTTTGCTTTTGTCCGTTTTTTTGAAAGACGAGATGCTGAAGACGCGATGGACAGGGTTGATGGCTCCGTTCTTGATGGACGTGAAATTCGTGTGCAGAATGCCAAGTATGGAAGGCCACAAAGCGACTACAGACAGAGATCGGGTGGTAGAGATCGAGGATATTATGATCGCAGTAGGGGACGAAGGTTTGTAGAGGAGAATTGCCTAGTTTGAATGCGTTTTAAGTTTTATAATGTAGAAATGTGGGTGATTTGAATTTGGGAAACACGCGATGCCTGGATCAGCCAAATCTGGTGGGGTGGGGGGTGGGTGCTGATTGAACTTTGAACATGATTCAGTGCTGAAGGCAGTGGTGATGAACTGTGATCACAGGAGCTGCGCAACCACTCCCATGGGATTCAAAGGACAAAGAGATTTTCACCATTTTGGATGATATTTGCATTGCAAACAAGCAAAATCCTTTGTCGATGTCATCCAACATGGCGACGGTGATGTAACTTGCACACTGCTTATTGCTTGATCATTTCACAATCAATTACCATTGCACTCCGTCTCCAAGTCCAAAAATGGATTTGACAAGGAATTTCTCAGCCCCTTCCACCTCCTTTGCCAAGGTTGCCCAAGAGAGGTACAAAGTTACCTGTATCACCCTAGAAATCCATGCCCCAGCCCCCAAGTAAATCCATTCCAAATGAGGCGTGGCTTTGAATAACAGAATGTTTTTGTTACATGTAGGTCGCACTCTCCTCGTCGTCGAAGATCAAGGTCTAGATCGTACTCGCCGAAAAAAAGGTAACCATTGGCCAAATTGGTATACTAGCATTTACATTTAAGCATGAAGCATTAACTGTTTTGCACATTGCGCTAAAAATATTCTGTCACAACAGCATGGCTTTTTTGTTCTATGCCACCACCGATGCCTGTTGCTAAGCTGTTATAAACAGTTGCCACTCAGTGTAGCAGTTTGCAGTTGCCAGGGCTTTCAAAATAAGCTGGCAAGTGCTGGAGCACTGGAGGGTTCGATGCAGTTGTATGTGCATCCATTTTGCTTTCCACCACTGGCAAAGGAATAGCAAGAATAAACTACTCAGAAGTTTTTAGAACCACTGAGTATTTTAACAAAATACAAAACAGGTGTAACTCCAAAGATTGATAACATTTTATTTATCAAAAAAAAGTTATTAATCTTTGGAGTTGCACTTGTTTTGTAAACTACTCAGATATTTTTAAGTTTAACAATTATCTAAAAACCAAGGACTAGCTTCCAATACGATGAAGAAGAAATGTTTATTGGAAATTTTGTTGCTTTTTCTAATCCTATAGGTGGTTTCTTAATAAAAACAAATATCCTCTTACAGGCCTTGTTCCCTTTGCAGGCCTGCCCTACCGTCTTTCCTTTTATATTGGAATAGTAAAACAAAACAAACTAAAATTTCTTGTGTGTAAATTAAGATCTAGATCACCACGAAACAGAAAATCAAGATCCCGCTCACCACGTCGTCGTACATCCCGTTCACCTCAGCAAGAACGTCGGCGGGGCTCCGGATCTCCTTCACCAAAGAGAACCAGCCAATCACCAGAGAGAAATGGTTCTCCAACAAGAAATCGAAAGTCGTCTTCGCCTGACAAGTCCTCTTAGTGTCACGTCAAACTCAGCATAGCAATTTTAAATTGTAGCATTTTTAGCACGCGGAGGTAATTTTCCTCTATGACTACACTTCAGTTATACTGTAATCTTCAAGTTTAGTTTAGGACTCTTAATTCTCATCATATATTACTAGTCTTAATGTCGTAGAGCTCCTATAAAATACAAACTGTCTGTTTGCTTGAATGCATTGCTGCATCATATATTATTTTATTGGCAGTGTGTAGTATAAACACTTGTTTTAAAAATGCAGTCCACGATGGTTGCTAATATTGTCTGCATTTGTATATACCGTATTTACTCGATTGAGCACTGCCCTCGTTTGAGCGCCACCCCCGAATGAGCGCCACATTTGAGATCAATTATTTTAAAGAGCGCCGCCCCTGAATGAGCGCCGCACTAAACAGTGTAAAAACTAATTCCGCGTCAAAATTGGGTATTAGTGACAAAAACCTTTTAAAACTTGTCTATGTTATAGTTAAAAGTTCTTGTCATAATTCACAAATAAAATATTTTTTAAAGAGCACCGCTCACGAATGAGCGCCGCTCACGAATGAGCGCCGCATCTGAAGCTTTAAAAATTTAAAGAGCGCCGTGGCGCTTAAATGAGTACATACGGTAATGTTCAGGCCTGTTTACACATGCAATTTTTGCTCCGTTTTTAGTTGTGATTGTCTTCTGATGGATATGAACAGGTGGATGAGTTATGAATGTTCAGATAGGCCACAGACACTCAAAACATTCATAACTCATCCAAAAAAACAGGTTTTTCCAATTTTCACACATGTCGGAAGATATTTTGTGTTCAGATTGGTCTATAATCTCAAATTGGTTTAGTCCTATTTTGACTTTGTGTAATCTCATGTAAAAATAGGGAACTTTGATATGGTATGTTCAACCAAACAAGTGCATCTCATATTTCTATGTAAAACTGATTTGTGAATTCTAATATTTTACAGGCACTTAAGGCAGCAGTGTTAGTTGCTGTTATAAGCTGTAATTCTGTGAGAGGTTCCAGAACAATTGCAGCTGACGCCTGTTGCTGAGCTGTTATAAGCAGTTGCTGTTCAGTTGCAGTCGCTGTGCAGTGTAGCAGTTTGCTGTGCAGTGTAGCAGTATGCAGTTGCTGTGCAGTTGCTGTGAAATGTAGCTGTTTCCCTGTATGAAAGTTGCCAAGTCGTTTATAATTTCTGTTGTTTAAGAAACAACATGTTTTACAGTGTTATTTCAACTGAAATGCTGTAGAGTGTCTTTCGCGTTGCAGAACCATCTTTTCAGCGTGTCGCTGTGTCGGCAATCTGCTCCGGAGACGATTTAATTTTTTGCCAATTATGAGCCTACCAACAGATGTATTCTGAAAATTGTTGATCAATTAATTTGTTAACTGATGTGATGAGAAAAAGATACTGAAAACATAAATCTTCAAAGAGCCTATTTCCTTGAAGTCTGGGGTATAAAATGATTTTTGCCAGAGAAATTGAAGGAAATATTTCAACAAAAATGCAGTGGTTATGGATTCTTGGGAAATAAGGTGCGTTTAAGTTCAAATATAGTGCAAACATTTTTATTTTTCTTTCACATATTAAAATCAACTGACATTTAGAGATGACAGCAGAGAGTTAAACATAACTAAAATTGATTTAACCCTTGATGAGTAAAATCATCTGGTGTTAGACAGAGTAAAATAATAAAGTAAGGTGCATTAGGGTGCAATGAAAATTAAATGGGTTAACAAGACACATGGGTAGATAGTCTGATTAACCATTGAACACCAGTGCTCTCTGAGCCGTTGTCGAGTAAAATTGTCTGGTGTTAGACAGAGTAAAATAATAAGGTAAGGTGCATTAGGGTGCAATGCAATTTAATGGGTTAACAAGACACATGTGTAGATAGTCTGATTAACCATTGAACACCAGTGCTCTCAGAGCCATTGACAAGTAAAATTGTCTGGTGTTAGACAGAGTAAAATAATATTAGATAATAAAGTAGAGAACATTGCAACTTAATGGTTGCATTTTACACAGAGCTGCCAATTTTGTGAGAGATGTCTGCCGACAATATGAGCCTGCATGAGTTTGACCGATGTGATGGTTCAGTTACATGTAACAAATAAAATCCTCCAGCACTGGACGAAGTAAATAGCATGACTTTGAAAAGGGTGCATTGGGCTTTATAAAAGTATGGTATGAAAATGGTTTGAAAAGATTGCCCCTCCCCCCATTCCTCCCCTCTCAATCCCCCCTGCCCCCCTGGTTGGATAATTGCACGTGGCCCAATTGATTTCCGGTTTTACTGTAAAAAATATTGTGAATTTCGAAGATGTTTTTAATCGATCATTCTCTATTTCCTTCTGAAACGTGGAATGAAACGATGTTAAAAAGTCAGTTGGCGCCACTTTTGCGAAGTCCGTACGGGATAGGTATGAATTTTTAAGAGAATGTTTGTTTTGTGCGCTATACAAGTTAGCTAGTTTTTCAAAGCTTTTTCGAAACGGAAAATTGTAACTATAGCCCGTCTAAAGCCTTATATCATATAAAACGTGAAGTTATGTTTTGTCTATAAACGCTGTATAAGATTCCTAAGTTTTAGGCGGTTTGTTAAATAGAGAACATCGAAATTCTTTAAATTTTGTACGATTTCCGAGTATTTGCTATGTATTCAGCACGAATTTGCGTGAAATATAAAGCATTCCCGAGAATTTTGAAACCGCAAAAATTTCATACAGGTATGTCGTAATTATAAATATTTGCTAATCTAGCGGAAGTTCTAACGTATTATAATATTTCGAAGGTTGGAAGCAGGTTTTTCAAAGTAGTTTTCCTTTCAAAATTTCGCTTCGAAACCTAAATAAAAGATAGAATAATGACGCTGCAAACGTTGTGCGTAATTTGCTTTAGTGATGAAACCTTGTAAAATTTCGCGCAATATAATTTCAAATTTTCAAAGGCCGGAAGTTTTAGCTATATGAGGTGTCAAGATGTTAGGCTTCCGCTGCAGTGTTCAACGAAAACTGCGTTTTGTGTTTCGACAACAAAGCTTCGCAACTTAAAATGGTCGTTCATTGTTGAGAGAATATCAAAAAAGCGCTTTGGAATAAAATATGAAGGGTCTTTATAGTTTTCAAGGCTTCTAAAGTACTCGAGCGCTTTTCCCCCGGTAGTTGAATAGTGTGGGCGAATTCACGTCCATGTACGTCAAAGCCAGCAACTAAACAACCTAGGAACAGATTTCCAAGTTCCTTTCTCGTTTCATAATGTATATTTTAAAATTTGTATGGTAATTCTTTGTTGTTTACATTAAAGAAAGCTTGGCACATATACAGGATACAGCGCTGTCGAATTTGCTATGTTATCGAGGCTAGAATATATGACAACGAATTTTTATACATATATACGTAAGTAAAAGACTAATTGCTTCTAATATTTAAGTATAGAAATTATACTGCCCTGTTGCATTTCCTGCAACGGGCATTGTTTTAAAATTTGCCAATTTTGTCCCGTCTATGCTGTGCTTTGAGTTTGCAGAAAGCCATAGCGAAATTAAAACTTTTTTTTTTACTTTAAATTTATTCACTGTTTACAGTGTACAGTCAGGGAAAACCCTTTTCATTTTCCTAGAATTGTTTACTTCGTAAATTTGCTACAATGCAGCTAAATTTATTTCCAAAAACATTCGATGCTAGTCTAGGAACCCTGAAATTTTGCTAACATTTTACTTGTACAAGTATTAAAAGTTCTGTGAAAACTTTAATTTCAAGTAGGTGCTAAAATCATTACATGTATAATATGGGGTAATTTTGGCAGTTTATTAATGATTAACGTTTGGCTGGAATACTAGGAAAATAGGGGAAGGGGAATTTTAAAATGGACAATGACCGTAGTTTCAATATAAATAGTGTGATTTTTTCCCTTTTGTATTTTTTTAGCGAGTGAATTGAAATGGACGGTTGTCGCAGGAGTAAAAGTTCGGGCGGCGATGAGTGTTGCGGAATGAGCAGCAATGTAATGGAGGTAAGAAATTTTTTGGTTCTGTTATCAATATATGCCCTGGGCATGTTGTGCAATATAATTTAGTGATATTGAAAGCTACTATGATATAAACTCGAACATTCTATGCTAATGAAAATAACACCATAAAGCTGCGACGTTCAACTACCTTTTATTCAGGTTATTGAATCGTTTGCAATCTGTAGCTTACTGGTATAATGCTCCTGTAGCTAGTGCACAGATAAGTTATATTTTTTGTATTCAGATTGATGGCGATACTTTTGAATTTGTTAACCATTAAGTGACGATGCACACTACTTTAGTATTTTTCTCTGCCGGACAATTTTACTTGTCAAGGGGAGAGTGCTGCCATTTGATGGGTTAATCTATTACTGCAATTTACCCTATGCGAAGCGATTCTACTCTTGGAGAATTTTAGTGCCAGATTGTTGCAACAGTCGGAAATTATCGATTACCGATTATTATTCATGCCGCAATCTGCCAGATACCGATGCCAATATCGATTTTATAATGATATCAGTCGACCAAGGTAACATGATTGATGACGATTTTTTAACAATAATTTCCAACGTAACGTTACTGCAACCAAAGATCGTTAAAACTGTTAATAAATGACACGCTTCACACATTAACTTAACATAACATTTAACATCAACGTGCAATGCATATAATTTTTAAAGTGAGTATTTTCTCAACAATCTGAAATATAGACAATTATACCGATTCCGATTGTCTATCGATAAGGCAAAAATCAGCCCAATGCCGATGCTGATTATTGGTCAATCACTAGGAAATTTGTTGGGCACCGGTATCTCTGCCACTGTCGGCAAGCTAAGCCAGTTGATCCAGTTCAGCTGGTTCTGGAGAAGGTTCACAGACGTTACCGAGATCTCCTTAGTACACTAAGTTGAGAGAATGCGTGCTTACTCCTTTTCATTCTCCCCCAAATGGTCAAAACTTGGGGTCTACACTCCTGGGGCCGGTTGTATTAATCTCTTAATCACTTTTTTAATCACTTTTTTAATCACTATTTTGTAGTTAAATAGTGATTAACTCTCAAATACGCGCTTCTTATTGGATGATGTTTCCACTAACTGTAGTTAATTTTAATCACTTTTTTATACAACCGGCCCAGGTCCACAGAAAGTGAGGAAATTTAAAATAAGAAATATTTTTTGTGAACAGACTCGTAAGAGGCACATGTCGACCTCTATGTACCCTCTACTGCAAATAGGGATATAATTCAAATTTAAGGGAACTTAGTGGACCAGTAATGCCCAAGAATTTTTTTGTGTAAAATCATCTGGCATTGGAATAATATAATTTAGTTGGATACTGCATCATTAACAGTTACTAAATTGGTGAAGATTGCAAGACATTTCACCTTTTTTTTTGTGCTAATATTATTAAAATTTTATTTGTGATGGGGTTTTTTCCACCAGTTCTCAGAAGAACAGGATGTAACTGTCAAAATTTGTATAATGCTACATGTACATGTCTCGTATCTTATTACGAAGAAAAGAAAGAGATTGATTAATGGTTAATTAAGTAAAGCCTATATACTGTCAGAGCATCTTGTAGACATTTTCCAGTGGGGGGCCAAAACCAAGATTAGGGTCACTCAGGGTAAGATTATAGGGCCCAATCTTAGTGCCAGGGCTTACGGGGCCAAATGGCCCCCAGTGTATATGTTAAAATATACCTTGTTTAGCGTACTCCAGGTAATGCCTAGTAAAGATCGAGACTAAAATGTCCACCTGAACATTTATTTGCAAACTTAACTGAAAAAGTTCGTGAAAAATTTCCCTCGAAATTGCATTTATCGCGTGACACGTTGATCGTCCCTGTAAATACTTAGCTTATGTTTGACTATCGAATAGGTAAATATGGTTTGTTTAGCTTTAGATTCGTCAAAAAATGCCGCTTTGAAACATGCCTGAAAATTATGCCGGATGTTTGACCCAACGCAGTTATAACGTCATTTACACAGGAAAGGGAAGATATATTAGTGTCAGTGGTTAAAGACTGTGCTTATTGCAAGAATTTCCTCATTTTTGTGATATTTTACTCAATGGAATAGTTCGGATTATTGTATGCATCTTTTTTTAAAAACGCGCTACCCCTAGGCTAAACCCTGCGTGACTCCAGAGATTAAGCGTACGTTCTATCCAAATTTAAACTGTCTTGGGACATCATGGTTTGCGGGATTTTCTCCAATTTTTTTAATGTATGAAATATTTTCGTGACTTGACGCGTGCTGATTTTAAAACCTGTTTCGTTTGTTCACACGGGAATCCGTAGGGTTCCGGTTTCAACGCCATGTCGCAGTTGGAGAAATCGTGCAAATGTTTCTGTGTATCAATATCGCAAAATGTTCTTTATTGGGCTAATTTCCACTACTCAACTTTTGCCTAAAACTGTCGCTTGCAACCTGCTTACAACTTGAGTTAAACTGTATAAATAAAGTACACACGCAAAAACGCGAGCAAAAACGCACAAGTTGTTACAGGTCTGCAAACAAGTTGTTACAAATCTGTTCACAAGCTGTCGACAAGTTGTGTTCGCACTGCTTGTTCCCAGTTGTTGTAACAAGTTTTGGAACAATTAGCTGTTAACAACTTGTAACAAGCTTGATGGCATTATCAGACTTGTAGCATGAAAGTTGTTCTAACAAGTCTGATACAGTCATGATATAACAAGAATGGTACAAGGTTGATGACACAAGGTTGTAACAGTATTGTTATATCATGACTGTATTGGACGTGTTGGAACAACCTTGCAACAAGTCTAATAATATCAACAAGATTGTTACAATGTTTTTATGTTACTCTGAGTGTCACCTGAGTACATAACATCAAAACACACACAAAAAATATCAAGATTGTTACAAGTTGCTAACAGTTTGTTCCTTGATTTACACAGTACAACTCAAGTTATAGGCAGGTTGCATGCCGGTTTTAGGCAAAAGTTATGTAGTGGAAATCGATCTTTACATGTTAATCACGTTATTCAACTTTTACACTCCGCTATTTACAATGTCAATGGTCTACGACAAACTGTCTCACAAAATTGTCTGGCATTTTCACAAGAACAACAACACTATTTCGACCTGGTTACTTTTCCTGTTTTGAATCGTTTCACGTGTTCGTAGTTTTACATTCACGTGTTCGCAATTTCTTACATAACATTGATTTGTTTGATCTGCCCGATTAACCAATCAGATGCGTGCACCCGGTGAACGTTTGAGGCAGCTGTGGAAGTCAAATTTGAACCTCCGCTCTGAATAACAGGAAGTTTTTCGTTTGATAGTCCTGAGGCCTATATGGCGCCAGATCAACACAGGTTTTACTTGTTCCAAAACCCAATATACGCTGTTTTTAATCTTCTTTGTTGCAAGTATACAAAACTGAATTAATGGTTTACATGGATAATTTAAAAGGTCAAACTTTTACGTCTATTTACATTATTATTATTTATTATTCTTATTACAAGCTTACATAGCGCTTATAACACGTATAGTCGATTTAATCTTAGGGAAATGATTCCTTGTTTAACACTATGCCAGTTCCCTCGAACATTTTTTCTTACAAATCCTTCAAAACTTAGAATTTACCCATGCAAAATTCCTACAGAACTTTGATAATATAAACTAGGCTTTGGACATGGACAGAAATTGAGATATTTTGTTTAAAATTACAAATATTACATGAAAAGCAAGCCTACAGAAAGGTTAACAATAAGGTACTACTAAATTTATTGTAAGAATGTAGCGAATATGTAGAAATAGTCACATAAAGACACAGTTTGGAAAATGTGCTGACCAGAACCGCGCGAAAAGTGGCCTGAGTCGAGGCTGTGCAGCTACCTTGAGAAGCTCGTGGATTGGCTAATTCTTGACGGGTTTTTTTTGAGATAGGGACTTAAAAACCATAGTCCTGCTAAGACCTTTGTCGATAGATGCGTTTCCTTAAGGGAAATAACGCTGAAAAGTATAAACAGAATTTCGGCGTTTTGAGCGAAGGCCCTTTTCCCTAGCTCTATAGGGGATAAACAGTCCCTCATTGTTCACTTTATATGGAAACTAAAAACTACTTCGACTTACCTATCCAATGGTAATTTAGGGTCAATTGTCGAACTTTTCATGCGCCGAACCTAATGCAAAGTGGAACAAAAAACTTAGCTCATTAACATTCGTTTCGGCACATGAAAAGTTCGACGTCTGACCCTGGCCTTAATCATTTTATAAAATTGATAACTGAACCTCGTACCCAAGGCGTTTTAACGATTAAAAAGGTTCTGGTGCATAAATGTCATAAGCTGCACTGATAATCTGTCACATATCTGCATATCTACTGAACACCTTATAAAAGCAATCTTGAACCTTAGTCTTACAACTGGTGTATTACGACTTCGTAAATACTGATTGAAGATTTTTAAGCTTTAGTGATCTAATTTTGGTATATATGCGTGTTTTGGCTTGTTGTATACAGCCCAGCTCAGATTAATAAACTTGATAAATTAAGTTTTGTATGTTACTGGTAAACTACATCAAATATATGTAGATTCTTTATAATAGTCCTCCTCATAATTGCCCTACAAGTATGGCCTTTGTAGAGTTAATTGGATATTCGTATGAGCTCCGGTGATCCAGTGGCAATGTTAGTTTTCAAAACTTGTTGAAGGATTTGAAGTGGTAAAAACAAAAATCTTGACTCAAATAATTCCAAGTCTAGCTATCAATACATGCGTAACGTTCGTCAACTAGTGATGGTTGGAGCTTTACAATCGTTCATATTAAGTGTTGACCTTTGTCAATAATTGGATTTCGTAGGCTTCAGTGAGCCAACTTCCTCATTGCTACATTTTGATATCCGATGCACCGAAATTGACCTGAACGCGAGTTAAGACGAATTAGATTCACAAGAAACGTTTATTCTAAACTAGTAATATTATACATTTAGTAATTTTCACGAAAATGCCTTCTTTTTTATAGAAATACATGCAGTGTATATGTGTTTCATTGCAAAGTTGCATGAATATATACTTCCTTGTTATAATATTATAGTCTCCGGAATATCAGGGGAGCAATTAGCATTTCAGCATAAGACTTCCGTTAGAATGGTTATAGTGTGATATCATCTTTGCTGTGATTGAGCTCTATTTTTGATTGAGCTCTATGTAATAAGCCACAATGGAAGATCAAGAAAAAGCTATGTAATCGTACTTACGTATGCTGCTATCTGCTTCTAATGTTGGCGCGTTTGCATAATTACAAATTTGGATGAAAAGTTAAGCGTGTCATGGAGTCAGCACGGACAACACAGGCAAGTTTCTCTGGTAGATCAGCTAAATGAGCACATGGTTTCGCGAATGACCATCGTGCAGAAGATCGTGGCGAATCTGCAGTTATTTGAGTCAGAAAATAATCTTAATTCTTTTCATTATATGTAGTGATGTATAGTCGGAAATGCATAAAATTGGTATAGCTGTAGTTTCGATGTTTACTCCGAAGGCCATACGTGTCAGCAGTTTTGTGGTTGACATCCAGATGCTATTCTGTAACGCTTATATCCCGAACCTCGTTAATACAAATTTGCTTTTAATTGGGAACAGTAGTTTGCATGATCATATAATGGTAAAAACCCAACAGTCTATTGAGTATTGTTGTTGACTCGAGCCGTATTTTGAACCTGCAAATTCGTTTAAGCCTTAAGGGGGATTGACGTTCTACCAACAGAGCCATCGAATCATTGGGGAATAGCGTGAATTCAAATCCATATTCAAATGCACTAGATATTTCTGCGAGATATCTGCTTCCATAAACACGTCTACGTAATATCAGCCCATTTTTAAATACGCATTTAATTAGAGTTATTATTAAGTGGAATAAAAATAACATTGCTTGAAGTCTTGGTTAGAAACAGGCACGTTTTGCACAAGAATTTTTCTGGACTGCTGCATGTTTTTTCCAACTTTATAAATGTAAGTATAGCTATACTGATTATCAGACAGAAGCATTAGGTTAACAACGATAATTTTTGGTAACGCAAATGGTACGATGATTTTAGGTAATGGCTATAGAATAAATTACTGTCTTTCCCTGGTTGTAGTGTCTGGATTTTGATAACATCTGCAGCCATGACGCAACCAGAATTGCTTTGGCGGGTACTTGAATTCGGGCTTTATAAAAGTGTTCAATATTTATGCAAATTAGACTTGAACTGACTTAGATAATGTAATGTTATGTAATGTTCGTCGCTGGCCAGTCGTGTTCGACAATGTGAAACAGACTGGATCTGTGTGCTGTAAGTAAATCAGTCTTTTCTGACTGTAGAGATATATCAACACACTCTTCCATTACATTTGAAATAGTCTTGATCTATCTCGTCTTTATGTACTATATATGTAAATCAGTCTTTACTGACTGTACAGATATATCGACACTCTATTACATTACATGTGAAGTAGTCTCCATCTATCTTGTCTTTTGTGTGCTGTATGTAAATCATCTTTACTGACTGTAAAGATGTATGACTTTCTATTACATTACATGTAAAACTACATTACAACAAACTACAAAAAATTGTGTGGACGCTATTAAAATCGTGCGTTATTGGCAACTCAATGTCTGCATGTATGGGATGTGTCTCATGAATTTAACAAAGCCGCATTTACAAGACAAGTTATCGAAGACGCGCATACAGCTAGCGTTTGAAACACAACATAATGGTTAATGAAGTTCAGACATTTCTTTATTATCTGATTCCTTTCCTTATATGGTGTGCAGTTTCAGCTATCGACTTCCCTGGCAAACGTTGAAAAAAAAAACTTGTGGGATGAAACAAACTTCAAGTGAGATTTTTCCCAGCACTAGAAACGGTGTCGCTAAGGAGTGTTGTGTGCTGAGAACAGTTCGCGTGTTTTCCGTTCAACTATCTGATGCAGTAAAAATGAATATGACCATGTTTGGTAGTTGGCTTGTTTGTGCATCTTCTATAGAATAATTCATCTTTCTTTGTTATAAACTTATAATCAACCAAGCACAGAACCTGTTTCTACTTTCTATAGCTTGTGGTCAGACTTCAGAGCTCGACAACTGTAGGACTCTGCTGCAGTTGGTTAGAGCTCGACAACTGTAGGACTCTGCAGCTCAGTTGGTTAGAGCTTGACAACTGTAAGACTCTGTAGCTCAGTTGGTTAGAGCTTGACAACTGTAGGACTCTGCAGCTCAGTTGGTTAGAGCTTGACAACTGTAGGACTCTGTAGCTCAGTTGGTTAGAGCTTCACAACTGTAGGACTCTGCAGTTCAGTTGGTTAGAGCTTGACAACTGTAGGACTCTGCAGCTCAGTTGGTTAGAGCTTGACAACTGTAGGACTCTGCAGCTCAGTTGGTTAGAGCTCGACAACTGTAGGACTCTGTAGCTCAGTTGGTTAGAGCTTGACAACTGTAGGACTCTGTAGCTCAGTTGGTTAGAGCTCGACAACTGTAGGACTCTGCAGCTCAGTTGGTTAGAGCTTGACAACTGTAGGACTCTGTAGCTCAGTTGGTTAGAGCTCGACAACTGTAGTTTATAGTTAAATTTTTCACAACGGCTCCTGTTTAGGTCTAAAATTGCATACAATCTTCCACTCGAAACATTTAACTACACAAACCCTTTAATTGATTGTAAATTCGCCTCGGTTGTATTTAGCCACAGGCAAAATATGGCTTGTAAGTTGTATGCAAATTCATGCAACTCTTGTTCTCGTTTGACCGGGGGACATGAGAGTTGAGAAAACTCAAACCCAAACTCTCGCTTCTCAACAACTCATCAACTTTCATGCAACTTTTGTTCTCGTTTGACCGGGGCATGAGAGTTGAGAAAACTCTCGTGCAAACTCTCGCTTCTCAACTCTCATCAACTCTCATGCAACTCTTGTTCTCGTTTGACCGGGGCATGAGAGTTGAGAAAACGCTGATGCAAACTCTCGCTTCTCAACTCTCATCGACTTTCATGCAACTCTCGCTTCTCAACTCTCATCAACTCTCATGCAACTCTTGTTCTCGTTTGACCGGGGCATGAGAGTTGAGAAAACTCTCATGCAAACTCTCGCTTCTCAACTCTCATCAACTCTCATGCAACTCTTGTTCTCGTTTCATCGGGGCATGAGAGTTGAGAAAACTCAAATGCAAACCCTCAACTCTCATAATCGTTTAACAAGGGTTTTAGGGACTGTTTATATGGTCCCACTTATCCGGGATGTGACGTATTTTGAGCAATTGAAACAAGTCGCAGTTCATCATCTAACAAAATTGCTTGTTACAAATTATATGAAATTCCATGTTTTAGACAAAAAACAAATGTTGTTGAATGCTATTAAGAGGCAATTTTTTTCAATGTCACGTATTTGCAATGAAAAGTGTTCAAAACCTAAAATCTTTTTGGAGTTCCTCTCAAAATTACTTTGTTTTAGCTTTATTCTCTAGTTTATAGAGTTAGCTACCTTTTTAAATGCATCTACCGGTTGAGAAACATAAAATAATAGTTAAAAATTGTCAATTAAAATACAATTATCAACGATGTTTTAAAATTGACGCCATATTTACAGCCATATAAGCAAAACTTACTGAACTTCAGACATCATTTTCTCTTTGGCGTATCATCTAAAATCTCTTCATTTTAGCATTATTTTACAGATAAAGCACTAATAAAGCACTAAACATACTTTTTAAGTTTGCCGATTGAGAAACGTATCGAAAAATAAAATTTTGAATTTAGTCATAACCTCAAGTGATATATTATACGCACTAGTTTTGAGCGCGTGTTACGTAACATACAAAAAAATCTCCTCTTAATCGTCTTCTTCCACTATTTTATCGCCTCGTTACCGGCAGCCGGAAGCCTGGGAACGAGGATGCTACTTAACTTCTAGCGCGTTCCTAATTTCTTTCAAACAATATTTAAAGTTATCTAACTTTTGTTTAGGGATGAAACACGTATTTCAATTGCTCAAAATACGTAACACTTCATTGAATCCCGGGTAAGCGGGACCATGCATATATAAACAGCCCCTAGAAGAACTCGTTTTATAAATGCACCGAGTTGAGAAATGTCTACGAGCTGGGTCTCTTTACTATTTGATAGACAAATTAAGCTAATTTCCATCGTTGCTACCGTATTTACCAGTTTCGATAAGTGACATGCCTAGTTACCATTGTTCTAGTTTACAGAAACAAAGAATAGAACAAAGGTAACCAAGTTTTAGAATTATCTACTTGAGTGAATAACTGCTATAAATAATTCCAATTGCTTAGTTACGTTTGTTTTATTCTATGCGTCTGTAGACTAGAACAATAGTAACTAGGCATGTGGATTATCGAAACTGGTAAATTAGATAGCAACGATCTAAATCCAGCATGTTCTGCCCTCTGGTGTGATTGACACCTATGCCCCCACGCTGTCAGCCCCCCAGCATGCTTCACTCCATCCTTATAACTTCCTTCACAATGCTTACTTTCTTTATTCGCAACGCTGCTGCAGTTTAAAAGGTTTCGGCGCTTATATTGACTAATTCGTTACGGAAATACGGTTGAATTGTGAATTACGCGGTTAAGACGACAAGAAGGTATTGAAAATCTTGGATGTAACTGGAATTCCTATGAAGGGAGCGATGTATTTCAGGGTTACAACAGCATCGATCCACCTGAAAAATATTAGCATCGACATTTAAATCTTGATTGAGTTAAAGCATAGTTGGAATACTCATCAGACCTTTATTTTGTTTACCCAGAGCTTGAAATACCTGTCCCCATGTAACAATTCGTGAGAGCCAACTCTCGTCAGTTCTCGTTTCACCCCACGTGGCTTTAACACAAGTTTTTTTGTCGTTTTAGTTGATGGAAGTGAACCGGCGTTGGAAGCAAGAATACGACTTACTGAAGACGAAACATCTGAGGGAAAAATTAGAGCTTGAAGAAGAAAATCACTCGTTTAAAGTGGAAGTATCAAGGTTGAAAGATGAGTTGACGAGGCTGGCGAATGCCGTGAGCCAAGGCTCGCATACGAAGTTGGATTGTTTCAATGGCCGCTCGGATCAAGCCAGTCAGGGGAATGGAAATGTGGATCAGTTGATTAAGGAACAGGTATATAGAAAGACGCATTATTCTCTTGGCTTTACGAGTTTTACGCCTTAATGCCTTAGGGGAAAGATTAGGCTAAATTTTTGGTAGCAACACAATGATGAAGGTTTTTTCCGGGCTGCATAAACAATTGCAACGGATACGTCTTCCAAGGAAAAGGTTTTTAATTAACATCGTGTTCTGTCGAGTAAAATGACAAAAATTTAGATTTATTTCCCCACAGTCCATGTGAGAATTTTTTTCATTTCCGCTATCCGATGCTACCAAGCACCTCAGATTTTCTCCAAATATTTCGCTTTCCTGCCATGACTGGACCTCTAGGAAGAACAGTTTAGAACTGGTGGAGCTATCCAGTATAATGTTAGTTTGGTGTAGGTTATTAACAATGGAACTTTATTTATACTGGATAGCTCTATCAGTTCTAAACTGTTTCCCTAGAGGTCCAGTAAGAATCATCTCTTATTGAACCAGTGTTACTACAGGAGGAAACTAAACTAAACTAACTTTATTTATACTGGATAGCTCTATCAGTTCTGAACTGTTCTCCCTAGAGGTCCAGTAAGCTGATCATACCTTATTCGTAGTTTAGTTTAGGTTTCCTCCTGTAGTAACACTGGATCAATAAGAGATGATCCTTACTGGACCTCTAGGAAGAACAGTTTAGAACTGAAAGAGCTATCCAGTATAAATAAAGTTAGTTTAGTTTAGGTTTCTTCCTGTAGTAACACTGGATCAATAAGAGATGATCCTTACTGCACCTCTAGGAAGAACAGTTTAGAACTGATAGAGCTATCCAGTATAAATAAAGTTAGTTTAGTTTATATCTGTTTCACATGCACGATTATGCAATAAAGTCTTTCACTATATTTTGCAACAATCAAAAATGAGTCATCGCCATATGATGCGGTATGCAAACAAGGAAATAGGAAGTTTTCATGTAAGATATGCGTGTCGTGTTGCACACATATTGTGTATTGTATAGTCTGACAGCGACTTCCTCGTTATCGAACTAAGACCCTTTCTCCTCCGTGGCGCCAAAGGCTTTTGATAGTCTGCGTAGAATGCTGGGGGAAAGGGAACGGGAAGAGAGAGTCTGAGGTCTAGTTGAAACGTCAAGCTTTTCATGTTCCGAACTTGATGCAGATGAGTTAACACAATGAGTTTAGGTCATTTACGTTAGATTCGGCCCAAGAGTAATGCGACGTTTAAACTAGGACTTTTCACATCTTTGGTGGCGCCATCGTCAGAGCAAGGGCCTGTGCGGAGTCGTTCATAACACTTACGTGAAGAGAGTCCGTCAACGCTCTGCCGAAATTGTGGGTTTTCTCTGGGTACTCGGTTTTCCTCCCACAGGGAATGTTGACAGGGTGGGTTGGGATTATACCCCTAACTGACCCTTCCACCGTAACTTTGCTCCGTGATCAGACATGAGTCATAAGGCGGCTGCCAGAGGTGACCTTAGAAAACCTTCGACTCGATCAGCTCTACAATTATTACGATTACCATTTCTACAGCGCAATTTTGCCTGTGGATATGATCAAATGCGCTTTACATCATGTATTTTTATACACTCACGCGCACTTAACCAATCAGTAATCGTTGAGAGGGTCACGTGCCGATCTAATATTTTACGATATTGGACAGGAACCTATTGGACAGTTGCGAATTGTGGCTTTTTTCATGGTTTTCAACCCTTTTCGGATGTTTTGTCAATTTCAACGATATGGCAGAATAATGAAAAGAATTTGGGACATTAATACAGTTTTTTCTACCAGTTTTGTTTAAAATTATAAAAGCGCGGGAAAACTTGTCTTCACGAAATTTATTTGTTTGCAACAGCCTAGAAGTTAGTAATATTATTTTTTTTTCGTTAAAATTAGGTCAAATTTCCTTTAAACATACATGGAAATGAGTTTATTTATGCACACATATTTGTAAAAACAGGTTTATTACCACCTTTTTTTTAGTTATTTAAGCAAATTCGCCGCCGATATATGTAGTAATGTTGTTGCTGTATTAGTCTCGCTGTATTTACTTTATCGCTTATTGATAATAAGATAATTTTTGTTATAGAATTGTTTTGTTCGATATAATAAAACTCCTATTGGATTCATCTTCGCCCAATATGGCAAAATATTAAGTCTCGATTTCAATATTAGGCTCGACCTTCGGTCTCGCCCAATATTGAATATCGACTCAATATTTTGCCATATTGGGCTCAGAAGAATCCAATAATTAACAATTATTCGCCGAAGGCGAGGTGATTATCGGTGAATAAAAACCGAGACGAAGTCGAGGTTTTTATTCACGATAATCACCGAGCCTGAGGTGAATAATTGTTTTAGTATAATTTCATAGGTGATTATATGGAAAAAATAAAAAAAATACACATTTCTTCGTCATTTAATTGACAAAAAGGCTTCGGCCGCCATTTTGAAAATCGCTTAGGTGATTATCGCGTAATAATCACCTCAACGGCAACCAATCAACGGCAACCAATCAGCGTGGAGAATTTTCAATAATCACCTATGTAATTATACTAAGATATATTATACGCTTGCCTAATTACATACTTAGCCTAGACTATTTATCTTTACAATAATTGTGATATTACTTTCTTAACTATGTTTATCCTAACCCACCCTGTCAACTTTCCCTGTGGGAGGAAACCAGAACACCCGGAGAAAACCCACGACTTTCGGTAGAGCGTTGACTGACTCCTTTCACATGAGTCCGTAGTGAGTCATCGAACCCACGAACTCGGAGGTGAAAGGCGCTTGCTCTGGAATTCCCCCCCCCCCCAAAAAAAAAAATAACGCCGTAACGTATATAACGCCGAACATGCTGGGTTGGCTGGGCCACAGTATACAATCAGATTGTTAATACGTTGTAAACGTGTGTTGAGAGACCAATAAATATTGTGTTCATAAAGCAACGCTGACTTTTATGTTTCTCGCCATTTTCTCTAGCTTGCGGCGTACAAGGAAGACTTCAAACTCGAACATGAAGACAAAGAAAAAATTCGGTCTGAGAAAAAATCTTTACAGGAACAATTGTTTCAATGTGAACGACATGTCCAGACTCTCAACCAAGAGGTTCGTCCCAGCACACGTTATGTAAATCCGCATGATTATTTCTGTGTTTTCTTCATAAATTATTTCAGCTATGATATCTTTTGTGTTTTCTTCATAAATTATTGATGAGTTTCACAAAATATATATTAAATAAGTTCCATTTCTTGCTGCAATATTTTTTTACATCATAGTTAAATATCAATGACGACCACTTCATTCATCCTTCTATCTTATTCTCTTCAGTTAGATGTGTACAAAAAAGAGTGCAAAAGACTACAAGAGGAGCAAGAGGGGAAACGACGGGATATTAAGAGACATCCAAGTATAGATAGGAGTAAATCATACCCTGAAACTAGTTCCCTTTCTTACAAAGAAGACTCTCTTGATCCCATGTCATCCATAGCATTACCGCCATCTATGTGCAGCAAGCGTGAAGGATATTTAAATCTCAGAGATTTTAGACATGAACAATTAAAAAGGGTAAGTTTTGACACTTCCGGTTGGTCGCTTGTATTCAAGGGTGTGGTTGACTACAAATTTTTTGTAGTTCGCTACAACTACAGCTACTTCAAAAATATGTAGTCAGCTACAACTACTGCTACTTTTGAACAGGTTGTTCGCCACTGGCTACAGCTACTGCTTAAAAAATGTAGCGAACTATTTCGCTACGTTATAGTTATTTTTTTAGTTTTACTGTATTTGGAGCATCTACTAGCTCATGCTGAAATGTAACCTATAACAAATCGACTTACGAGTAGCAACAGTAAACACAAAGCAACATTTTTGTACGCACTACAGTGTTCAGGAGCGCAAATTGACTGAGTATTAATTTTAAGCAAACCTTGTCTCAATATCATGCTGTTCTATCAAGTTGCTAACAATTTTGTTTGAATAGCGATTCGCTGTTTGAAAAGTAGTCAACTACTTAGCTTAGGCAAAATGTAGTTCGCTATAACTACAGCTACTGTTTTAAAAAAGTAGTCAAAAACTACTGGCTACTTGAAAATTGTAGTTCGCTACAGTAGCGAACTACACCTACTTCGCTACTACCCACCCTTGCTTGTATTACATCGTTAATATATATATTCTATTTTTTCCAGGGCATTTTAGTTCGGAACCCGTCGCAAGGCAGACCTCCGCGGTCGCCAACGTACAACGTTACTACAAGACGAATGAGCGATTCAGCCCCACCCTCCCCTCCCACGTCGCCGTCGATTAACCAATCGTATCGCAAGCCCGAGTCCAGCAGAACTTCATGTCTATGGTAATAGCCTGCGAGCGGGTTATAATGCACACAGGCCATATTCCTTTGATGTACTATGGTTCCAGAAGTTTATTTTCCTCGCCACGTGGAGAATGTTATTTTGTTACAAAGTTGTTGCAAAGGACTTGTTACAAGTTTGTTACAGCAAGCAGACATCAAGTTGTGTTCGTTCTGCTTGTTTTCAACATGACTTATTTTCAACACGTTTTCATTTCAAAAACCTGTTAACGTGAAATTTGTTAGACGTTCTTCTACCAAATAAAACCTCTGGAACCAGAGTACCGTATGATTTTACTGTCTATTCCCTAGGGACCTTACGATTTTGGAACGGCAACGCGACGGCGACGGCTACCAATACAATAGATCATTGAAAAGAATTGAGTAATTACAATATATGAATAATTTAGACATTGTCCTCGCTCTGTTTACAACACCAAATCACATATTTTCACGTCTTGATACAACGGCTGCATTCCAAAGATTGATAATATATGACGAACTATCTTTACTACCATTTATTTGAAGGAGTTTGTTTTGGCCGTCGCGTTGCCGTCCTAAAATCGTAAGTTCTCTATTGGTTGAATACGACGTTGAATAGGTTAGGAATACTTAAATATTATACAGTATTTAAAATATTGTAAATAATTGTGCGGTAAGTTAATAACACAATGTTTATATGAAATTATGCGAGGTGTTCTGTTAAAGAAATATATAACATTTGCAGTTGAAATTCAGCTCTTGATAATTTGATGTTTTTTGTAACATACGTTATAAGAAAATGTAACATTTTAAGAATAAATATATTGGCATTTGGTGAACATGAATTACATGCAGACCATGAGGTACTGGGAGTTTTCAACTATTCTATTTTTCGCAGCTGTTCGGTCTAAATGAATGTATAAAATGTACATTGGGAATTTCCCTTTTCAAAATCCTTCAACAAAATATTAGTATGTATTTTGTGTGGGGCGAAAGTGAAAAGCACATACTAATTTTTTCTTGGAGGATCTGCCGGGAAAAGAAAAAGGAAATTTGCCGAATATATAATTTTAGCCTGCACTGTCTGTGCTGTAAGTAACTTTGTTACAAGTAACGAAATTACAAGTAATCGTTTTTGAGTAACTGTAACTGTAACGGTAACTAGTTACCATTAAAAATGATGTAACTGTAACGAGTTACATTTTGGCCTAAAATGACATGTTTACGTCTCCCATTGCCAACTGGCGTCACGTCGTTTGATCGATTTCTAAACTTGTTTCTTTTTGGTTTTTTTTTATTAATTTGGTTAGGGTTGCGGTTGCTGTGTGTCACCATTTTTTTATGCAAAAATATGCAGTTGACTGTCCAGAAGGCGGGGCCTCCAGCCATGCAATACAGCGCATTTATTGGCCAGAATATGTAATCGACTGGCTAGGAAGATGGCGGCCAAGGGGCCATCCTGTGTGGATCTTTATTCTGTGACTCTGGTGTAGGGCTACATAAAGTAGATACCAGTTTTCCTCGGATATCCACTGGAAAAATGAGCCCGTTGTATAGGAGAAAATTACGAATTCTGATTTCTGAACAAAAAAATAGGAATAAAAAATTAGAATGTCTTTTGAGAAATGCGCAGAAGGAAGCCCGGGGCTGCAGCTCCTGAAACAGAGACTTTCTCGTTTGCAAACAGTAGAAGGACGACGTAAAGGTTTGAGTTTTAAACCTCGTTCGGATGACGTGTTCGTCGTCACTCCACCTAAGTGTGGCACAACATGGATGCAACAAATTCTCCATCAGTTGCGAAGTGGTGGCGATATGTCCTTTGATAACATTAACGATGTCGTCCCTTATATCGAGATGGCTTACGATACCGGCAAAACAGACCTCGAGGCTGTACACAACTATCAACCACGGTATTGACTGGGTTATCATATTTCACAGGCGGATTTTCAGATTTTGCGGGGAGGGGGGTGGGTGGTGCAGAAAATTCTGAGAGTGGGGGGGGGGGGCAGCACGTTGTGTCACCGAGCAAGCTGCAGCAGGGGTTTAGGGCAAGGTTAGGGTAAGGGGGTGGGACCCCCATTTTCAGATTTTTGGCCTTATGTGGTTAATTGAAAATCCATGTTTCAATCACAGCACTGTCATTTAATCCAGTTTATAGAACTGAGCTAAGATGAGCATTTTATAATAAATTTCAGGGGGGATTACAGTATAAATATGTTTTATGGGGTGCACCCCCCCCCCCTGCATTCCCAGAAATTGTATATATTATTAAAGTTGTGTATTGAAGAGATATGTTTTGTTCTCATTCTTAGATGTTACAAGACCCACACATGGTATCCAGTATGTCCGAAGGGTGCTAAATACATTGTTATTTACCGTGAACCATGTGCAGCTTTCTACAGTCTCTTTAACTTTTTTAAAGGTTGGATGTTTCAACCTGGGGAAGTTACACTTTCCGAATTTGTAACAGATTTTTTGCTCACTCGTGCAGTGCCAAAAAACAAGATGGAACATTCATCCTATTTTCTCCATTTGCTCAGCTGGTTGGAACACAGGTATGCAATAAAGAAAAACCTGCACCCCTCAGTCTCCTTCAGAACCACCTTTGAGATATGTTTAAATCCGTTGAGAAACTGGGGGGGGGGGGGTTAACACTGATCCGATTTTTAGCTAAAAACAGAAAGCTATACCATTGTACAGGGTGTATAAAAAAAAACTGAACAGATTTGAAATTGCTCTCAATTTCGCAAAACACCTATTTGTATCCGGTTTTTTTGCATATATAGCTTCTTTGGGTACTTATAATGTAAAATAATGAAAAAAATTTGTCGAACTCAAATTTTGTGGACCAGGGGGGGTGTCTTTTCCAACAAACTAAAAATGGCTCGCGCACAAAATTTAAAAGCTGTAATCATATTTTGCATTAATAAATGGAAAATATGTTGGGTTTTTAATTACCGTACAAAATTTCAGACAATTTGGTTTAGTGTAAGCCCTTCAACTATTCATTTTGTTCTAAAAAGTCAGCCTTTCGCATGCTTAATTAATGCCTTTACCTAATTTGCATATTGCTGACATATGCAAATTAGGCAAACGCATTAATTAAGCATGGAAATAGCTGATTTTTAGGAAAAATGTAACTTTGCGTGAATAGTTAAGGGGCTTAAACTAAACCAAATTGTCTGAAATTTTGTACAGTAATTAAAAGCCGGACAAATTTTCCATCTGTTAACTCAAAATATGATTGCAGCTTTTAAATTTTG